GCTTGATCCGCAATGGGGGGGCGTGCAGGAGGTAGCCAATCAATGATTCTCTCATCACTGATGTTTCCCCCCCCCTCCCCCGCTTTCCTCTCTGAAATCAATAAAAATATAATTTTTAAAAAGTACATGACACCAGTTATTTGAGGTAATTCTCAATGAGGCATTCTGAAAACACTCAGGCATCTATGGAAAATCAAATAGTTGGGGAAAGGAAAACACCTGGCTCATTTGCTTCCCCTCTCCCTCAAACAGGAAAGAATACAGAAATGGTGCCAATTATTTGGAAGTTGAATTCAAGTTTAAACCTATCTGCCGTCCTTGCTGTAGTCTCTGAAGATTTACTTCAATACCTATGTCTTTGATGCTCCGCCCAGACTGAGCACAGGAATTCCCAGAAGGGCTCTGGCATTTATTTTTTTAAACGTATTTCCATTGATTTCAGAGAGGAAGGGAGAAGGAGAGGAGATAGAAACATCAATGATGAGAGAGAATCATTGATTGGCTGCCTCCTGCATGCCCCCTACTGGGGATAGAGCCTGCAACCCGGGCATGTGCCCCTGACCAAATTTGAACCTGGGACCTTTCAGTCCACAGGCTGATGCTCTATCCACTGAGCCAAACCGGCCAGGGTATCTGGCATCTGTTTTAATATAAAAGCCAGAAAAGATCATCATTGGTAAAACAAAAAAATAAACAAAAAACCCTGAAATGTGTTCTTAAATTAAAAAAAAATATCTTTCACAATGACTTTAGAGTCACCCATAATAGGTAATCTGAAGCCAGACCATATGCTTACTGGCAGGGTGAGGCTTCTGTTCAGTAAAGAGGGGAAGGAGGAGAACACTTAGATTCAGATAATGTCAAAGTAACTTTTTAAATATGGTAGATTATAAATGTGTTACAAGTTGATAACTCAATGAGAATGAACAAATGACAATCTCACAATATGGATGCTGAACAAACAATGCTGAACAAAAGCAAGACACAAATGAAAATAGAAAAATGAACAAAATTATTCTATGCTGGACCTGGCTGGTTTGGTTCAGTGGATAGAGTGTCAGCCTGTGGACTCAGGGGTCCATGCCTGGTTGCGGGCTCAGTCCTGAGGGGGGTGGAGGGGTGTGCAGGAGGCAGCCGATCGGTGATTCTCATCATTGGTGTTTCTAGCTCGCTCTCCCTCTCCCTTCCTCTCTGAAATCAATTAAAAAAATTTTTTAAAAATCATTCTATGCTGAATTCTAAAGCCAAGATAGTGGTGACCTCTGAGGCCTGGCTTGAGGGCTTGATTCGCAATGGGGGGTGTGCAGGAGGCAGCCAATCAATGATTCTCTCATCACTGATGTTTCTCTCTCTCCCCCCCTTCCTTTCCTCTCTGAAATCAATAAAAATATATTTTTCAAAAAGTACATGACACCAGTTATTTGAGGTAATTCTCAATGAGGCATTCTGAAAACACTCAGGTGCTAATTTAACAGGAATGTTCAGTCTGAAAATGCATCACATTTGCGATATTTGCACTTTTCTGTAGGTTTATTATTGAAAAGTATTTTTTCTTTTTTAAAATACACTTTTATTGAATTCAGAGAGGAAGGGAGAGGGGGAGAGAGATAGAAACATCAATGATGAGAGAGAATCAATGATCAGCCACCTCCTGCAGGGCCCACACTGGGGATCAAGCCCACAACCTGGGCATGTGCTCTTGACCGGAACTGAACCCGGGATCCTTTAGTCCACAGGCCGACGCTCTATCTATCCACTGAGCAACCGGTTAGAGCTCAACAAAAATATTATTTTTTTTTTGAGAATAATTTTTTTTAAACATAAAGTTAGCTTTTAAATATATTTTAAGTACCCAGCTATTACAAAGATGAATGCTAAGTTAAAATAATTAAAAAGTTAAAGCAGTAAGTTCACTGAACTATATACAGGGTGGGGCAGAAGTAGGTTTATAAACCTACTTCTGCCCCACCCTGTATTATGAGCTTGTTAATATCAAATTTAGTACGTTATAATCTAATACTAACAAGCATAAATGCCTAGGCTCTGGGTAAGAGAGTAATTCCTACCCCTCTAAAAAGAGCGATACAAGTTGAAGACATGGGGGAGACCTCCAAAGGAGAAATACATGAATGGATGAGTTAACAGGGCTGGTTATTAGTAAGTGAAGACATGAGGACAGGAAAAAAATGCAGAAGTTAATCATTAAAACCTAAAACTAAAGTAGTGCAAAATCCCAACCACACCCACCTTCAACTCCTGGGATCTGCCTACAACAGATAATTTGAAGTTCCCTATGGTGGTTGTTGAAATCAGCAAGAAATACTCAGAATTAGCTAGTGTCTGGACCTTGGGCAAGACATGGCCAAGTTTGTGACTCCTGACACAAACACAACTGATGGCTTCAATTACCTGCCACCAAAGAACTTTAACTTGTCTAAATTTTCTAAGCACTATTTTTTTTATACTGATTATATACTGAAATAATATTGAAATGTTTTTTAAAATCCTTTGTTTAAAGTATTACATATAGTATTAAAGAGGTCTCCTTCTCCCCCCCCACTAACCTCTCCCCAGCCACCCCCACCTCCCACTAAATACTATTTTTTAAATTATATTTTTTATTGATTTCAGAGAGGGAGAGGGAGAGATGGAAACATCAATGATGAGAGAGAATCATAAGTTCAATGAACAAATTGTTTATATTACCTTCATGAAAATCTATCACAGGACAATAGCATGTTGATATGCTAAACATTTTGAGTAACACATACTTGAAACACCATAATTTCTCACTCTGAGTAACCCAAAAGTCCAAAAGCTAGTTTTAGTATTTTTAAGTTTTAGTTTTACATCAAGATATTTCCTCATAGAAATCGCTCAAAAACTACAAAACCAAAATTCAGGAATAAGGATGACTTGTTTTCTTCCTTTTTCATTTTCTTTGCCTAAAATGTTACTTTTGTCCCAAAGAAAAAAGATGATTATTATAAACAAAGAAAAATGTTTATTACCAAGATTCTAAATTGTGAAGCCTAAAAAGGCAAGTTGAATACCTTCTAAAAACCATATTTCTAGGACACTAGACATGTAGTTTATTTTTCCAAAGAACAAAAAAACTCCAGACAGCCTAGCCCACTTCGCAGCCAGAGGGACATAACCTTTTTCATGTGATCTCAGTAAAACCTCAGCAAATGGAAAATCTGGATATTGCAAAGGCTCTAGACCAGCGGTTCTCAACCTGTGGGTCGCGACCCATTTGGGGGTCGAACCACCCTTTCACAGGGGTCGCCTAAGACCATCAGAAAACACATATATAATTACATATTGTTTTTGTGATTAATCACTATGCTTTAATTATGTTCAATTTGTAACAATGAAAATACATCCGGAATATCAGATACTTACATTACGATTCGTAGCAAAATTACAGTTACGAAGTAGCAACGAAAATAATTTTATGGTTGGGGGTCACCACAACATGTGGAACTGTATTAAAGGGTCGCGGCATTAGGAAGGTTGAGAACCACTGCTCTAGACAGTTCTATCCAGGTAAACTTTAGTTCATTTGACTACTAAATATCAGGAGTCCACCAACAGTCCATGTAACCTCACCTATATCTGATACATTTTGGTGAAGACTAAGTTGTTTCAGAAGGATTAAATATTTTTGCCCACCTTCGTGAATTGACAAAACGTTCTTACAATCAAAACTTAGGTACACCTGAAACTAAGATAAGTTTGTATGTCAACTATAATTTTAAAATTCTTAAAAAAGAAAAAAAAACAGATCTTTTTGTATCTGACTTCTCAAAATGTTTGTGGTGTCCATGCTTCTGAAACCACCTTGCCACATATGATTTAGACGAACCATCTCCCCCACAGTCTGGAATCCTCTTAAAATAATCATTTTTGTAGACAGAAGGATATGTGATTAAAAAAACAAATACAGCAGCCGAAACCGGTTTGACTCAGTGGATAGAGTGTCGGCCTGCGGACTGAAAGGTCCCAGGTTCGATTCCGGTCAAGGGCATGTACCTGGGTTGCGGGCACATCCCCGGTGGGGGATGTGCAGGAGGCGGCTGATCGATGTTTCTCTCTCATCGATGTTTCTGACTCTGTCTCTCTCCCTTCCTCTCTGCAAAAAATTAATAAAATTAAAAAAAAACAAAAAACAAATACAGCAAAATGCTAATGACAGAACCCAGGAGGATGAATATATAAGGTGTACACTAGCGTGTTTGTTTTTTTTCCCAACTCTAAGTGTGAAAACTCTCATAAGATATTTGGGTGAATATAATCTTTCAAAGTCTGAACAAAAACACCGATGGCAACTTCAGCCCACCCAAGGCTGCGAGGCCTGCCATCAGATCACAAGCCTGGCACTTCCAGCCCCCACGCACCCCACGAAAAAGCCCTTCCTTCAGACTGTCTGAGGAATAGAACACCAACTGATAAAAATGTAAAAGCAACAGTAAAAATAACCTTCCACCCAAAACAAGGTTCCCTAGTGAGTCATTTTCCAGCAAGTGTGTCATGAGCATTTTGTTGGACTTTTAACTTTATCAGTAAAACAACTCTGCCCATTACCATTTCACCGACATTTTTTAAAAAAAATCCCGAACAGTCCACCTTAAAGCTTGTGAACCTCCCAGAAGGCAGACCCGCGCAGCCCTCCCAGGTGCTGGAACCCGCAAAGCCCGGGAGTTCGGGCTGGCGGCTCCAGGTGCTCCGCTCTAACCCGCGCCTCCAGGTGGGGACTGCAACCCGGCGTGTCCACGGGCCAAAGGGCTATGAACCGCGCGGACCGGACGGGGCGAGGCGAGGAGGAAATGCACAGCCGGGGCGTCGGACACAACCGAGCGAGGGGAGAGGAGGAAGGGAAAACCCGAGCCATCTGTGCGGGGAGGACCTGGGGGCACCGGGCCAGCCGGGCGCCCTCGGGCGCGGGAGCTCGGAGGGCGGACGCTCCGGCCCCGCCGGCCACCCCGCCCTGCGCGCACCTCTCGGTCCTTGAGGCCCAGCAGGAGCACCTCCTCCATCAGGGTCAGCCGTGTTTCCTTGGAGTCGCCCTTGTCGTCGTCGTCCTGTTCGTCGCGGCGGCTCTGCGCGTCGTCCTCGCCGCTGCCGCCTCCGCCGCCGGCCGCCCGCTCCTTGTCGGCCGCGCTGCGGGAGGCCTCGGTGCGGCGCTGCACCAGGCCCGAGCTGCGCTGGGTCAGCGAGGTCATGGCTCCGGCCGAGGCGCCGCGCCGGGCCGACTGGGACGCGGGACCGACCGGCTTTCCCTCCTCCTCCCCCGCGGCCCCCGACCCGGGCCTCCGTGTTAAATCCGGGCGCTGGGGCGACGTCCGACGGCAGCGGGGCCGGGGGCAATCATGGGGAGACGGCGGGGACGAGGCGGGCGGCCGGGCGTCGGCGCGGCGCGAGGCGGCTTCCTTCCTTCCTGCGGCCGCAGCCGGGAGGCAGCCGGAGCTCAGAGACGGCGGCGGCGGCGCCTCTCCAATATGGCGGCGCCGGCTGACGTCACCGGAGGATGTGGCACGCCGGCGTGGGGCTGGCCCGAGGGCGCCGGAAGCGGCGGCGGGGGCCCGCGAGCCACGCCCCCTCCCGCAGGCCACGCCCCTCCCGCTCCGGGTCGTGGTCTCCGCCCAGCGCTCCCCATACTCGCTGGCGTCCTCCCTCCATCAGCCTACCCCTTCGCTTCTCAAGAAAGCAGGGCTGGAGCCAGGAGTCGGGGGCACGTGGCCTAGCGAGGGGCACCCCGCTCCGTCTTCAGCTGTGCCCTCAGCTCCGGGACACCACCATCCTCGGAGCTGGCCTCGGCCGGGCTTGCGGGGACCCGGCTTGGAATCCCGGGGTCCCCACGAGACCCAGAAAGGACGTGGGTCGCGCTCTGCCCACACTCCCTGGCCCTTCTGCAGGAGCAGCCGCACCTAATGCGTGAAGGGGCTTTTCGTGTGTTCTGGGTGTGTGTGCAGAAGAGGTCAGGACACACTGACTAGTTAGTTCTGTTTGTAACACTTCCCCTCTCCTCCCGCCTCGTAAAGTGACCACGAGCGCCGGGAGGACAGTTCGTGCTGCCCTCGGCGGTTCACTCGCCCTCGATGAACTTTAAAGAGACAATAAACCTGTTGAGTATCATGCGTCTTTGTTCACGTTAAATTTCCCTCAATTTAATCACAAGGTTACATCCTCTTGGCGTGCTTGACGATTTATGCAAGTTAGCTTAAAGAATAAATGTCAAACCAGACTGGAGGAATGACAGGCCGGCAGGGTGGAGCGTGTAAGTAGAACATTATCTATTAATAATGGCATTGCATGCCATCCAATATTATTGAACACTAACAATGACCTCGGGCTGTGGCCACAGACTGGTTTATATAGAAACATATTGTTGTAACAGGACTTAAGCTGTAATAAATGAAAAATGCCAGTTGTCAAGCCGTCCAGTAGAATATTCTGACTACAGAGCTCTCCCTGCTTCGCAAAACCATTGTCCAAAACGGGTCATACCTGTCACCACCCCAAGCCCTGGCAATCCAGAATGCAGAATCCGCAGGTGCGGGGAGGAGGGGCAGGGTGAGGACAAAGTAGACCTTTTTATTTTCCCTATTATCTGGACAAAGGTCAACCTCACCTCAAACAATTTCTCCTACTCACATCCTGTTCAGCTTTTTCTTTTTCATCCCCCAGCTCTTTCCCAAATAGGTTAAATAGGTTTCCTTTTAAAATAATGTAATTTCTTTATTGGTTAATATAGTCAAATGAGTAGTTGAAGGATAAACATAGATACAGTGTGTGGACGAAAGTGCCACGTGCTAACCTGACAAGCTCAGGGAAGGCCTGCATGGCGGTCTTGCAAACTCAGAGACCTAAAGTAACCACAAAGGATGGTCTGAGATTAAAGTTTAACTAAAAGCAGTTATGGTGGGTAGTTAGATCCTAGGCTGGTATCTTCACTGACAGGTCAACCTTCACCTTAATTGAGCCTATCTGTCTTTTTGCATCTATAATAACATATCCTTGAAATATTTGGGCAACTTGTAACTCCCTTTTTCTGGAGCCCTTGGGGCACAACCTAATGTGCTGGGCACCAGGAGAGATACCACAAATTCCTTCATTATTATCATGTTAATTATTCCTGCACCCACCTAAGTATGTGGCTATCATTTTACTTTTTATCCAATCCCAAGGGTTTCCCTGCTTTGCTTTCTCCTGCCTCTCTAGTCTATCACCAATGGATTTCATGTAACCCACCTATATCCCTTATTGTAATGTATAAATACAGATGTAACCCGCCATTCTCCCAAGCATTATCTCACTTCCTTGAGGTTCTGCTTCCCGGCATATGTGGACAGTTTGGCTAAAATAAACTCAAAAAATCTTTACAGGTTTCAATGGTTTTTTACAATAACAAGTGAAAATCTTCCAGACCTGCCCTTATTCACCCAGTAGTTCCCCCTTCCCCTCCCTTGGTGGTTTTAAAATATGCCAACAAATTCTCTGATGCTCCTTCTCTCAAAAGGTGAAACCTAATTCCCCTCCCCAGACTCAGTGGCTCTCTTCAGATGACTAGAACATGGCAGGTGTGACTGAGTGTGACTCCTTAGACTAGGTCATAAAAGTCTTTTCAGGTTCTTCCTTGCTCTCCCTTTCTCCATCTCCATCTCTCTCTCTCTCAGATCATTCTTTTTTTACCCCCCTTAAAAATATTTTTTTTGTTGTTATGTTGATCGATTTTAGAGAGGGAGAGAGAAACAGCGATTTGTTGTTTCACTTATTTATGCATTCATTGGTTGCTTTTTCACTTGATCTTAGCCAAAAGGCCAAGAAGCCATCATTGGTTGCTTCTTATATGTGCCCTGAACAGGGATCAAACCCACCCACATCCTTGGCATATTGGAACAACGCTCTAACCAAATGAGCTACCTGGCCAGGTTTCAAGATCATTCATTCTGAGGGAGGCCAACAGCCATGTCATGAAGAGATGCAAGCAGCGCTATGGAGTGGTCCAGTTGGAAAGGAACAGAAGCCCGCTGCCCACAGCCATGTGAGTGAGTTATCTTGGAAGTGGATCCCCCAGCCCCAGTCAAGCTTTTAGTAACATCTTGATTGCAACCTCATGAAAGATTCTGAGCCAGTTCTACCCAGCTAAGCCAGTCCTGTATTATTGAGCTACAAAAACTGTGAGATAATAAGTATTTGTTGTCTTAAGCTGCTAAATTTGAGGTAATTTGTTTTGTAGTAACGGTACTAAAATATTTGAGCACATATACACACAATTAGGTAACAACTAATATTGCATTCTTAGATACCCTTCCAGAATTTTTAAATGTATATTCAAACAAATATAAAAATATTTTTCCTTTTTTATGCAAATCATAGTACATTATCCACATTGTTTTATATCTCAATTTTTCCCCCACTTAATTGATATTGGAGAGCTGTCTGTATCAATACTTAAGAACTTCTTCATGCTTTGTTTCAGCTGCCCCAAACCACCTACCCAGTCATTTCTTTTGCTCTCGCTCCTCGCTCCTCCCCTAAGGCAAACTTGCCTGTTTGCCTATTCTGTGGGGGTTTGGTTCCTCTTTTTTCTTCTCTGGTGCATAGATCTAGTCATCTCTGCTTACTTTGCCCCAGTGCCAGTACAAACATTTTCCTCTCCAAGGGCCACCATACTTCATTTAGCTTCATTTCTGTGAACATTCTGTGTCAGCAAGGAGTGACTTTCTGCCAACTGTCCATGCCACTGTCCCTAGCTGACAGGGAATTTCCTAAGGAGCTTTCTGCTATGACCCCTCTTGAAATGGAGAGCTCCCTCCCTCTCCTGCCAACAGGTGACGGAATCTTTTCCAAGGTACTAGTCTATCTGCCATAATCTTTTCCCATCTCTACCCACCTTTAAAAGATAAAATTGTTGTATTTTGCATTTATACAGCCCCTTTTCTAGAAGCTCACAATACTCACTCTCCTGTACTGTATGGCATTTTTATGATACCCTCATGAGGTTTACCACAACAGTTTTCCTTCCATATTTATCCCTATTACCTTCTCACCACCAAATTCCCTCCCTATCAATTCACTAACAAAATTCAGAAACTATTCCAAATGAATTTATATCTGCATAAGGAAAGCTGCTCTGTTTAAAACACACAAAAAAGCAACAGAGTTCGTATACAAAAACACTACTTTTAATAAAAACTTAATCAACTAAATTCGGAATTATCTCAACTGGATTATTTCTTTTTTTAAAATATATTTTTATTGATTTCAGAAAGTAAGGAAGAGGGAGAGAGATAGAAACTTCCATGATGAGAGAGAATCATGGATCAGCTGCCTCCTGCAAGTCCCCCACTGGGGATCGAGCCCACAACCCGAGCATGTGCCCTTGACCAGAATCGAACCTGGAACCTTTCAGTTTGCAGGCCAGCGCTCTACCCACTGAGCCAAGCTAGCTAGGGCTGGATTATTTCTTTCCACCAAAATAAAATGAGGATGCAAAAAGTTATCTTAGTAGGTAACATAGTAATGTTCATAATAATCTTAATAATGACTATATCTTCTTTAACTCAAAATATTAATAAACGTTTACCTTACATCCTTTAATTAATTAGTAAGATGATGTGGTATAATTCCCTATTTCCTTCTCTTATGAAAAAGAGGCTTAGGTAAGTCAAATGTATTTTAGTAATAAATAATCATAAATCCGACATTGAAATTGGGTTGTTTTATTTTTCTTTGAAGAGTTGCTTGATTGGTTAGGCTAATTTTTAAAATTGTTATTCTTTTGCATTTGCATTTGCAGGTAAGTGTTACTTTGTTTTGGAAAATTCATTATCAACCAAACTGCAGAAGATCTAATTGAGAATGATCTGGGAAGATCAGTTTCTCAGTCTTTACATTTGCTCAACTGCTATTGTATTCTTCCTCAGATCCAATAATCAATTCTGTCAGTACTATTTCTTAAAACCAAGGTGTGGCCAATCCATGGCCTACTTCTGCCCCTGATCCAGAGATGGGGTCTATATCCACTCCTTTTGACCCTGAGTAAGCCTTAAGACTGCCTCAACCAATAGGGCATGGTGGAATGGACCCTACGTTACTTCTAAGGGTAGGTCATCTTATATAATAAAAGGCTAATATGCAAATTGACCGCATGGTGAGAATGACTGGTTGCTATGACGTGCACTGACCACCAGGGGGCAGATGCTTAATGCACCGCTCAGCCAGAAGCTGGGCTCACGGCTGGCAAGTGCAGCGGCGGTGGCGGGAGCCTCTCCCCACAGGCCTAAGCCGTCAGTCAGACATCCCCCGATGGTTCCTGGACTACAAGAGGGCACAGGCCAGGCTAAGAGACTCCCCCATCAAGTGCAGGAATTTTGTGCACCGGGCCTCTAGGTAAAATATAATACACTCCTGCTTTGTTTTCATGGGATGATTGCTTTTAGAACCCAGTAACTATACTGTAGGGAAACCCAACCATCCTGTATAGAGGCCCACCTAGAAACAACCTGAGGCCCCTGGCCCACAACCCTTGCTGAGCTCCCAGCTCACAGTCAGCACCAATTCCCCTCCATGTGGTTGAGTCATCTTTAAGGTGAATCCTCCAGCCCTCCAGTTGAGTTGTCCCAGCTGTGGACATCTCAACTGGAGCAAACCTGGATTTGTGAAAAAATAGATCACTGAATCACAGGGTAAGAAGAGTTTCCTTGGCTCATACTTCTCTAGAGCACAGTCTGGTATCCTATATAATAAAGAGCTAATATGCTAATTAGACTGAACAGCTGAATGACCTTCCGGACATCCTTCCGGATGATCTTCCAGACAAAGCCACTGGGGCTGCAAGGGCCGAGCCCCTTGCACAGATTTTGTGCATGGGGCCTCTAGTATATTATAGTTAGATTACAAGGACTTTGCTCTTTTTGTGGTAAAATAACCAAGTCAGTTATCAAAAGAAATAGTTGTTAATGCCAATAGAACTCTGAACCCTTCATCAGCTTCCCTCATCGAAATTAGTAATTTAGGCTCACTGGATAGAGCGTCAGCCTGGGGACTGAAGGGTCCCAGGTTCGATTCCAGTCAAGGGCATGTACCTTGGTTGCAAGCACATCCCCAGTAGGAGGTGTGCAGGAGGCAGCTGATTGATGCTTCTCTCTCATCGATATTTCTAACTCTCTATCCCTCTCCCTTCCTCTCTATAAAAAATCAGTAAAATATATATTTAAAAAAAAAGAAATTAGTAATTTAGGGAAAGCTTATCCTACACTCATTCTATGGACATAAAACTTTAAATAGGAAGAGCTAAGTCCCTAGTGGACATATGGGCCGGGAGCAGCCTGGCTAAGGGAAATAATCAGGTTTAAGGAGCCATGGAAAGAAGTAGATATGCTCTCAAGGGACAGGGAGAAAACCTCCAATTGCAAGGGCAGGACAAAAAAGTTAAACCAGTTAAGTCACCTGAGCATGAATTAGTGGGGTTGTCATAGATGTTATCTCTCTTGTTTTTTAATTCTTGAAGGGGGTGGGAGGGATGAAGTCAGACACCAAAGAGCTACCCACACAAGGGGTTCAACGTATCCTTACGAATTTAACACTTCTTGTTTTCAGGAGAAATCGAATGCATCAGATGATCTTTTGAAAATTAAGTTGCATTTTCCACATAACAATATGCCTTGAGAATCAGAGCATTTGCCGCTATTGCAATCTTTTTAATGGCTGCAAAGTATTTCACAGTATGGGCAAACAACTGAATCGGTTCTGTAATGATGGACATGTAACGTATTCCTAAATGTCCACGATGCCAATAGTACTACAATAAACCCCTTATACAACAAACATCTATATGCCGAGTGTTTCTATACGATAGATTCCATGTCGTAAGTTGAAGATGAACTGGTGAATGTCCCGATTTCCCCCTATGACATAACATTCACATGCTCTCGGCCTCCCTTTGTCTTGTGCCTTTAAGGAGTGTTTATTAGTGACTTCTCCCAAGGAATTCTGGTATGGCTACTCTCTAAGGAAACAGAAGACTCCAGTTACAGGACAATTCAGCCGCAGAAGCTGAAGTTAACTAGGACCTAGAATTTGATGTGAGCAATTGGAAAGCATTTCTGCTTGCCCAAGGAGTTTCTTAATAAAGACGGCCTTGAAATATGTTTACCTTCCTTGGTTCCCCTACTATTTTTAGTTCCTTGGGTAAAGTTAATACTACTTGATTATAAATACATGCTTTTAAAATAAAGGAAACCTTGTAACATAAATGTAAGAAGTTTCAACTGTATATGCCCACCCTCGGGAGAAACAGCAGGTTAAAGTATCAATTAACTCCTTTATACCATCAGCCTCTTCTTGGAGATACATTTGTCTCCTTGTATTAACTGGTCCCTCATGACCTTAAACACAAATGTCTCTCCAAACATATTTAGCCAAGTCTAAATCATAGCTATATCCAGTCCTCTGGTCTGGCCTACCAGTTTTATTTTTATTTATTTGTCTCAATAAGGGTTGAGGGAGGGAGGAGGAAAATAAATAGGTTAGGTTTGTCTTTTACAAAGGCCAGACTAGCAGGATGTTTCAAGGGCACAAGCTAAATTTAAATAAATCCTTGTTGGATGAGCCTTACATAATTGAATTGTATTCTACCTAATATGTTAATAAAGCCACTGCACTTAGAGCGATGCCATTCTATGATGTGTTTCCATCCTTACCCATAACTCCCAAGGGGTGTGACGCTCCCATTCAAGTTACCACAGCCATGTCCCCCTTGCTCCTTATGAGGAAAGTTCCCTTCCAGTGGTGGTCTGCTTGCTTGCTTATTGGCAGGCATGTTTCAAATGGTACAGCTTCAAAATATAGGGGTTTTTTGTTTACAACAGAAAAATAAACCGATGAAGGCCATTGCAATTTGAACTAAAATTCTAATCTACAAACAAGAGCCTGGTTTGGAATGAAGATTTAAAAAGATGAGATTAAGGGCCCTGGCCAGGTAGTTCAGTTGGTTAGAACATCATCCTGATATACCAAGGTGGAGGGTTTGATCCCCAGTCAGGGCACAAACAAGGAGTAACCAATGACTGCATAAATAAATTGAAACAACAAATTGATGTCTCTCTCTCAAATCAATAAATATTTTAAAAAAGAAAGATGAGATGGAGGAAATCAGTTTTTTGGCTGATGGGACTTAATGGCTGAAACAAAGTTGATGAAGTACCAGTGTTATGGAAGAAATGATGCTTACAAAAGACCGGAGAAAAACCAAGCAGTGCCCAGAAAAATGGAGTTACACCGGTTATTCACCAGCGGGCCCAGAGGGAAATGTCTCCCAAATTTCTGGGCAAAAACATGGAGGAAGCTTTCCTTATTTATATCTTTCCACCCCCTTTGTCTCCCAAATAAGGGGTTTTCCAGACCTTACATCAGATGACTAGCCTACAAGGTCAGACAGCCAAGTTTATCTTCCCTATTATTCAAGTAGCTAGAAAGCAAAGTTAATTTACAGAGTAAGGGGCCATCTAAAAATAACAGAGTTGACTCACAGAATAAGAATCATCTAATAGCAGAGAATTTCAAACAGTAGTTTTTACAAAAATAGGGGTTAGCCTTCTCACCAGCATGAGCATTCACCACTGTAATCTTACCACTGAGCTTAGGTTTTCATGGTGGGGGTGGGGAGTGCGGGGAGCGAGAAACGAGAGTAACAACGTGGTGTGCTATAAACAAAAAGGTCCCATCATCTTCCTTTTTTTTTTTTTCTGAAGAAGTCTTATTTTTAGAATAGTTAAGATGCCACAAAAAAAAAAAAAAAAAAAAAAAGGAGCCACTAAGATACTTTCAGGTACTGTTTTCAGTGATGCTCATTTTTTTTCAGGTAATATTCAGCCCCTACAGCTACCACAAATAAAGCAAATCCCTGTTCCAATTCTTTTCATAGTGCACCCACCAGGGAAACATTGTTTGTAAAGCCACTCATGTATCTCCAAGCTTCACCGTGGCCTCGTGGTTCCCTTAGTCCCACTAACTACTAAAGACTCCAGTGGAGACAGTCACACAGGCTTTGATTCCTAGGATTTTTTTCACCATTTTGCAGGAAATCAGAAGCCCCCTCCCCCTGCACTCTGAGCAATTGATCCAGTCGAGTCCAAGGTTCTTTCTACCCACACAGATCATGGGTCCCCACTGGGACCCTCCATAACACTCGGCTTGGGGTGCCTAGGTCCCCTTCCTTTTAGATCTCCTACTTCTCTGACCATTTTCTACATTTACCTCCTTTCTCTTGGGCATTACTCCATAAGTCAATGGGGCCAGACCCCTGGCTTGTCCCAGATCATGGTGAACTAACCCTTGCTAAGAACCGAGGCTTCTCAACACCTAGGACACCCTCACGCCCTCTCACTGCTCATTCCTCTTCAGCTTCTTTAGAATCTCTGCCTGCCCCTCACACACACAAGGACTCCCCTTTATTTCCCCAGTATTAATGCCAATTCTAGTCAGAATCTACTTAAGTGGGCTTAGTGAAAAGTTCCTGAAGGAGGAGAGTTCAGGTGGCCCAAGTGCGTTTTCAGAAGCTGTGGCACAGGAAGATGCCTAAAGTGGATGGGCAAATGAGGAAGGAAATGCCCAAGCTTGGTGACTTCATGTCGCTGAGCCTGACCCAGCACCCCCAGAGCTCCTCAGATTCACTAGGTCCGTTGCATTTGGGGCGACAAAGCCCTTCTTTAAAAATACCCAAGTATCTTTATTTTTGCATGACTTGGCGTTTTAGAAACTTGTTATATGATAAAACACAGAGTCTATAGTGCTGATGTTTTCACTTTGTGTTTTATCTTTCCACATGGCTGTTTTGGTCAGGAGTGCCTTGAATGGGAGGAAGCTGCCCAGCACTGTCCCTCCAGTTGAAACCATAGCACCAGCCTTGGCGAAATCCCCAGCTTGAGGTAAAATGCTCACGTCCAGCCATGGAACCCTGGACAGTGCTTGCCTGTGATCTGACCTGCTCCTGCCTCAGCTCTTCCGTGTCAAAGTCACTGCTGTCCATCCCCAGCAGAGGAAAACCAATCCAGGCCTCAAGGGAAGTTCCTTCTGGAGCTCATGCGTGCTCTTTGCAGGTCACACACGAAACCCACAATGAAGAGGCCGACGAGCAGACAGACCTGTGTTTCAGCAGCCCAGGATCAAACTCCGTTTTAGAAGTGCACAGATTTGTTCTCCCCTGTCCTGATTCTTCACTTAGAAAATGAGAATTAAAAGTAGATCATGTTAAATAGACAAGAAACACTCTTACCTTTCTGTCCCTATTATCTTACTGAGGTGTAAAGGGGAAAGCTACTAATTCTGTCTAGAACAGCCGTGGGCAAACTACGGCCCGCGGGCCGGATCCGGCCCGTTTGAAATGAATAAAACTAAAAAAAAAAAAATGACCGTACCCTTTTATGTAATGATGTTTACTTTGAATTTATATTAGTTCACACAAACACTCCATCCATGCTTTTGTTCCGGCCCTCCGGTCCAGTTTAAGAACCCATTGTGGCCCTCGAGTCAAAAAGTTTGCCCACCCCTGGTCTAGAATAATGCCATTTTCACTACAAATAAGGGAATAAAAGTAACAGTGAGAAATCGAGTTAAAATGTATTTTTCAAAGATTGGCCTTTGCTTTGTCTCATGCCAGGGTACTGATGATACCCTGGGTGTGTACGAATGACTTAGATGTCCGGGGCCCTGTGCCTTGAGCTGGCATACAGTAGATGTTATGGTTCTTTTTTAAAAGCCTGAGACATGAGGACCCTCTTCTTCTCTAAAATAAAAGTCATGACTGGTTTCCATTTTCCTAAATATATCAGAATCTCTTAGAGAAAGTGACTCCCCTTTTTTGTATAAAATCACATAACCAAAAAAAACCCCCCAATATTAAAATGATTAAAGGAAAGACTTTCTTAAGATCAAATAAACATAGTCATTAAGCTATGGAAACCATCTTACTGCGTATTGTCAATAAGAATGCAGGCATTTGCCTAGAACTTTATAATTTCAAAAACAATAGTATGCATCTTTTGTCTCAGCAGAATATTTGCTGGTAGTTTCCCCCCTCTTCTGTCTATATTAGCTCAAGCTTGCATAACCCACACACTAAGGAGAAATATCATAGCGTGTATCAGAGGAGGGAAACTGAGTCTACAGAAGAGGACCAGGGCCTCAGAGGGATGTAACCCTTCCCAACTTGGTGCCACAGCCCACTAACCAGCCCTGTGATTTGGAAATTTATGTCCCATGTCTCTCCAAATAAAAGCCTAAATGTGCACGTTCACAATCTTTCCAGTCATGCAACACCAAGGAGCCAAGACACACAACCGCCCATGTCATTTCCTACAATATGTATCCCCCAATCCATTTGGCAATGAATACTCACACTGATAATGTACGTTATCTCATGGAATGGTCCCCGCCCCCAATCTGTGCATCCAGGTCCAGAACCGATTGGGGGTGTGGAAAGAATACAGTTGTTGGAAATGTGAGGTTTATGTGGGCATTTATAACAAAACCCAGTCCTGAGTCATTCCTGCATTTGAGGTTCAAAGTCAACATTATGGGATCCTGCTGTCATTTCCAACTGCATTGCCCTCGGGGCTAAATTTTAAAAGCTGAAAAAAATAGCTGCATCTAGTATTAAGGTAAATTGGAGAACTTCAACTCCCTCGTCAGTTTGCCGCTTGCTCCCTTTGCAAAGCTTCTCTGCTTTGTGTTCCTATTCACTTGTTTTGGCCCCCATCTCTTAGCAATTATTTCCATTTGTCTGAGGACTGGCCTTTCGGTCCCCTGAGATCCCAGGCCCCTGCGGGGTAATATAACAAGCGACAAGAGCCTCTGTCTTCCTGGACAGGCCTTGTCTCCTGACACAGCCCCACAGGTCTCCTCTTGCATGTGGAGGTGGAGGAGTGTGTATGGCCTTTTCAGAAAACCCAGACCCAAGTGTGGTGGTGTTGTGAATAGAATTTGAGCCATAAAGACCCACAAGGTTTTCAAGCACTTTTAAGCCAGGTTCCTCATATATTGTGTGTGTGTGTGTGTGTGTGTGTGTGTGTGTGTGTAGGGGGTGAAGTTAAGGGGCTCAAGGGGAGGGATAAAAGATGCCTTCTGTGAATGAGTATTGCACTTGTCCTTGGCAATATTTGAACAAAGATCAGTTTTGGTTATATGTATCTGAAAATTGAAATTTAAAAGGGTGAATGCTCAGAAATTAACATATAATTCATACATAGAGAAGTACCATTATGCATTTTCTCTTCAATTTAATGTGATTTTAAAGATGCTGGGCAGTCTGCTTTGCAATAAATGGAGTGGTGATGACACTGGCTGTATCTTCAGTCCCCAAAACAGGTCCTAGTGCACGCTGCCCATGGGAGGACTCAGGAAGGCGCATGCCTACCATGAGTGATCTTTTTGTTTTCCTAGCTGGCGGACTGCTTCACCAGGGATGCTGTGACCCACGTGGCCAAACTGCAAGTTAAAGGCAACAAAACCTTCCTGACCAATTCCTCTTCAAATTTTGATTAATATCTGACAGTATACTGAAAATACCCTTCAGCAACCTCCATCACCCACGGAGATTCTGAGGCACTGTACTAAGTTAAACAATGAAGAAAGAGCATTTTTTTTTTTAAAATAACAAAAACAGTGAAAAGGAAGGAATGACAGTTATATACAGGACATTCTGTATTCCAGTTTCTGCATTTTAACATAGTGAAGATATAACATGTTAAAAAAATGGTAAAATTTAAACATTTTTTTCTTTTCTTTTCATTAATTTAAGTAGACATTTTAAGCCTAAGATACAGTTTGAGTGATCATGGGGGTAAGTTAAATTCTGTGGAAAAACTACAAAACATGCCAAAAGGAGAAATAAAAAGATATGGGGGGGTGGGGGGGGAGGGAGGAAAAAGAGGTTGTAGCTTTACTATATGTTTTTGCTCACATCTGTAAATTGAATGCAAATTTTCCTAAATTCTGGAATAGTGATGTTAAAAAGTAACTGAGATAAAGAAATCATATGCCAGAGTAGAATTTCAAAATATATTTTACATTTCTAGGATCACACACAAAAAATTCCCTATAAGCATTACCTTAAAACATTTGTTATCAGAAATATAGTTTTGGGAATGAAAATAAACATTTGATAATGTAATAGAAACATAATCAGATATGCTATACATGTGTCATTTTAACACATACTCTTTATGGTACATTTCATATAAGAATGATGTTATTTTTACATTATTTATAAAACTGGCAACATGAGTTCCCAGATTTAACTATTTGCCTGGGGGACTCTGGTGCCCACATTCCACAATGGGAAACCACCACATGCACAGATACAGGCTCCCTGCAATCTGGTCAGGTCTCTCTGAAGTTCCCCAGGATGTAGAAGTGGCCCCTGGAGGGAGGTGCTGGGGAGGAGTGAGGGCTGCCTCAGCTCAGGGGGCCTACAGGCCACAGGCTGGTTTGGAGAGGGAAGGAGGATTAGGGGTGGATAAGGAAAACTGAACTGGAAGTTAGTTATTCTATTAACTGATCCACTCCCCACTCTCCCTAAGAAAAGTTAATTTTTTTTTTTAATTTTAAAAATCGAAAGTCTCAAACTTCAGTGAAGTTGTCTTTTAGTACTTTCAGCCAAAAAAACCCGTAACTCTCTTCATTTTCTGATTTTATGACCATATATCCTGAAGATAGCGTTTTTCTTCTTTTAAAGTAGCCAAAGTTTTCATTGCGTCCAGTTTATCAACTCCAACCTCTTTGCTTATTATTTCCACAAGGGTATCATTTACATCCCTGGCCATATTCTTAGCATCTCTAGAAAAAAGAAATAATAGTACCAATGTTTAACACAGGAATTTTTACCAAATCTTCCTTAATTCATGAACCTAAGGCGCCTCTATCACTACACTCTAGTCCTCCTTCCATTTCTCCAGAAAGAGTCCCCAGATGTCTCCCAGCCCCAGTCCTGTCACTGCCCCAACACCAGGCCTTCCCACAGTGACCATTCTAACATGCACTGGTCACAGCTTACACCCCTCTCCTTCAATGTCCGTGTCCTGGGAGCGGCCCAAACCTTCCCATCTGTCTTCTGCTCACCTCTCATTCCCTCCCCAGTTCTCAAGTCACAGAGTGGCACTTGCATCCCAAGGGCAATAAGATATTTTACAGGTCTAAGGCTTCATATGTGTGTGTGTGACTATGCGCACGCACACCCACCCACCCACACACACACACACACTGGCAGACCCACTTACTGAGAACGTCCATGTGCCTGGCCCTTCTCTCAATGCTTTGACGTGTCTCAGCTCTGTTCATTTACAGGAAGAGTGAGGTGCCCCCTCCCCAATGCCCTGCGGTCCCCTGCAGAGCATTTGCTATATTGTAGGCATCTGGTCACCTGCTCCCCACCCAGGGAATGCCCTGTCTGGTGGCAGGGAGTGTATCTCATTTATCTTCATACCTCTCATCATCTGAACAATGCCAAATACTCAGTAGGCACTTGAATATTTGTTAAATGAAAGAAGTGTTGGACAGGACACTAGCACTTCAGAAACTGAATCTGACCTGCCCCTTACAGTAAAATATATGTTAAAGTCATTTCAGAACTTATATTTCTCTTCCTGTACTTAAGCATCTAATCTCTCCTCCCTCCGTGTCTGGGTTATTATCCGATTGGTGCCTTGCTCCTTTAGTAAATATCACTGCCTGCCTCCCCTACCTGGCACCTGAGCATGAGGGCTGCTTACCCACACACGTAAATGTAACCGTTCTCATGAAGGAGGAGCCTTGCCAGCTGCTTGCTATGAAGCTGGATGTTGTCCTGCACATACTTCACTGGGGCTTGCTCCTCCCTGGCAGGAGAGTCTCTTGAGAAGGAAACCTTCAGGTGAGTTAGGATTCCATGCTTATGGAAATGTCTGAGCTCTTCTCTGAAATACACCGGAAGGTTTGTGATTTAAAGTTGAAAAGTCTGCAATGAGAATCGCACCCCTGTGGTTGAGGCAGACAATACTAGAGTTGTAGAGTACCTGAATAAGTAATCCCTCTCCTGATGTCTACAGCCAAAAAACAACCACATCGCCCCATAGTGTTCGTCTGGATGCTGTTCTTGGAGTTTCTCTCTACGTGAAAGAGAAAGGTGAGATGTTTAACTTAAGGAATATGTATATATAACCAATCTCTCTGGCTAGGAAATTCCACCAGCCAACCCAGAACTGTCCGTAAACTCTACCTTTGAAGTCTCTGAAAATTCACTCACTGAATTAACATTTTAACATTTTACTCTCCTCAGGGCACCTCGGCCCTGCAGCAGACACTGCAATGAGTCAGCGTCTCTGAGCTGTAGACACCTAGGAGCTCTACAGGACATCTTAGTAACACGGAAAATGCAACCACCACATTGTGAAACTTAGACTGACTTCTACATTCAATATTAATGTCAATCGTATGAACAAAATGAACTCTTAGTTAATACACTGGAAAGCGGCACAGGGCTTCGGAAGGAAGAATGCTCTGTTGTGGAGTGTCAGAAACGCCGGGCACACCAATGAGACATGCCGAGTGTGTCTGCCATCACTCTTCCGCTCTCTTAAGGTAAAGAGTAAAATGACAGCAAGATTATGTCCAGATTATGTCCAAATTGCATTACTCTCGTATCTGGGGAACAGTACATAAAAGCTGTTTATTATTTTACATATGGGGAGAGAAACACATTTTATTAATTTTATTTCAAACAATTCTGTTCTCAGAAAAAATTATATCCATTAGTATCATCCATTGAATATTATAGATGTTTGAGGCTTAACTTTGAAACTTCTGGTGTAATTGGCGCTGTCACCACCAATTTTATCTACTTAATAGATGGGACAGCCTGCACAGCATCACAGCATGAAGCTCTACTGGAAACGTTGTCTCCAGCAGCGAGTGCCCCAGGGAGAAAAGGAAAGTGCTGCGGTGAGAAGGGAAGCTCCGGCACAAAGTGAATCTCCAGAAGACAGCATCTTTACTTTTCCCACGGTGACAAATTGTTATGCTATCACACATTTGATCATAAATTTTTCAAATAAAAACTTTATAAGCAAAATCCAATACTATCCTAAAAACCAAGGGAGAAACAAAAATGCTCTCCGTTCTATTCCCACCCAGGACCACATGTGCTCACCAGCCAGACAGCGCTTACCTATGCTGCAGGAAACCAATGAAGGGCGCTACGCCAGTTCCCGGACCCACCATGATGATGGGGACGGAGGGGTCATTCGGCAAGTGGAAAGAGTTTGCTGTGCGAGGAGAGATGGATATCTGCAACAGTAACCCAACAGTCATAAGTATGAAAGAAAACCTAGACAAAGCCTATAACCGACATGATATTTGCTAAAGAAAGGAGAAAGTGCAAATTCCCCTAAAAGAAACATCATAAAATTAAACAGCAGCATTACATCTTACTGAAACCACAAACATATTTGTCACTACAGAGAAATAAGCCTGTCTTACACATTTTTATTTTCCATCCACATCTATGGTATTTTAAAAATGACAGGCATGATATTTCTGAGGTAGAACATGACTTATATAATCTTTTTCTAGTTCCATGAATAAGATCTGTTTCCTAGCATGCAACCTATTGCATGCATTTTGGAGATAAGCAGAAACAATGAAGACATGACTCTTCAAGTTTGCACACACAACATTAACATTGAGATGGGGCGAAAAGTTTTAAGTGAAAATTAAGGAACTAAAGGGGAAAGTAAGAGCCTGCTCTGAAGATTTAGAGACTGTGCTATGGTATGCTGGGTCCAATGTTACTAGTGTTTGTGCAAAACTAAAAGAATAAGTGATGGAGACAGATAAAATCTTTTCACTATTTTTCTTCTAAATCATGTGCTGGGGTGCTTACAAGGTAATCAGTTGGTAAATATACTTCTTTCCAGGTTCACTTTGCCACATGCCCAAGTTATGCTGGGTGAACACTAAGAGTTAAAAACATAGGAATCCACTCTATAGTCCAAGCTTACTGTATATATTTCAACCTTGAATTCAAGGAAAATCATATGAAATTCATTGACAGGACTTACTTTTTTTTTTTTTTTTAAATATATTTTATTGATTTTTTACAGAGAGGAAGGGAGAGAGATAGAGAGTTAGAAACATCGATGAGAGAGAAATATCGATCAGCTGCCTCCTGCACATCTCCTACTGGGGATATGCCTGCAACCCAGGTACATGCCCTTGACCGGAATCGAACCTGGGACCTTTCAGTCCGCAGGCCGACGCTCTATCCACTGAGCCAAACCGGTTTCGGCAGGACTTACTTTTTAAGAGAAGAATTGGCAGAGCTGTGTCAAATCATTGTTCTCATTTTGGAATGAGACTGTAATTAATATCACCTTAGTCCAGGGGTCCTCAAACTTTTTAAACAGGGGGCCAGTTCATTGTCCCTCAGACCGCTGGAGGGCCGGACTATAGTTTAAAAAAATACTATGAACAAATTCCTATGCACACTGCACATATCTTATTTTGAAGTAAAAAAACCAAAACAGGATCAAATACAATATTTGTATTTGCATGTGGCCCGCGGGCCGTAGTTTGAAGACCCCTCAAATGAGTCTATTCATTTGACTCATTTAACAATTTTATTGAAGGTACTCAGTATGAAAAGTATGAGGAATAGAGAAAGGAGCAAAACCAAATCCATCTTCATGGGACTCACATTCTAGTGGGTGGAAAAGACAATCAACAAACACATATCCCTAGAATGAGTCATTAAGTCTCACAAAACAAAATAAGGCGGACACGATGGGCATGGCAGGGATGGCTAGTGAGAGCCTGCTCTCTATGTTCTAGGTGCTGCGAGGAGATCAGGGCAGCAGCCGGCTCTTGCTGCAGTAAGTCTCAGAGGGTCCACAGCACCACACACTCTGGCTCTCTTTAAAGGCTGCAGGTAGGCTCTGCTACCTGGATCTCTTTCACTTGGGATCTCGCCCAAGGAGCAGGCCTGGCCTGGCCAATCCTGTCCTTACGTCAGAGGGAAGACTGAGGGAAGAAGTCACACCACACCACCAGGTCCTGCTCGGATGTGGCGGAGGCTAAACATTAATGGGCGGGTGGGCAGGAATAACTGTGAACAGTTGTATCACCTACCAGCAGGGGGAGGGTCATGCCCTTAACATTCTCCACACTTCCTAATAGCATATGGTATACTAAGCACCATGAAACTTAGTGTTAAATTGTATCCTTTCTACTTGCACCTCTGGCGTCTGCATACTGGGTAGTCAATAAAAATCTTTTAAAGTAGGGAAAGACAGAGGGGGAAAAGGGCAGGAGGAAAGAAAGAATAGGGGAAAGGCACCCCTGCTGAGTGTTTGTGATACATTATGGATATATTTTATTTATTTATTTATTTTTATAATATATTTTATTGATTTTTTACAGAGAGGAAGGGAGAGAGATAGAGAGTTAGAAACATCGATGAGAAACATCGATCAGCTGCCTCCTGCACATCTCCAACTGGGGATATGCCCGCAACCCAGGTACATGCCCTTGACCGGAATCGAACCTGGGACCTTTCAGTCCGCAGGCCGACGCTCTATCCACTGAGCCAAACCGGTTTCGGCGATATATTTTATTTTTTAACTCTTTGGAGATTATCAGCTATTTTTTATATGATCATGAAGTGACATAATACTTTGACATTAGTACTATTTTTCTTCAAAAAAGGAATTTTCTCAGGTTCTCAATATTTTGTTGTGACATAATAAATATAGGAGTTTGGAGGGGGGAGGAGGGGAACAGATGGAGACAGACAGATAGACAGACACACACGAGTAAAGCACCTCTGTTTCAGGCAGCAGACTGAGAAAATACTAAGTTAAAGGGCAATTTCAACCAGCAGGCTTCTTGTAGGCACTATCAAGTATATACCAGAGGTCTTAATTCCCTAAGGGCTGTGACCTTTTCAACTCCAATAACGTAGTAACCACCAGTCATAAGATAATGCTACAAATGACACAGCCATTTCTTCAATGCCATGGAGAAAGAAGACTTCACAATAAAGCCTGAAGTTTTTTTGTTTTGTTTTTTAAATTTCAGTCTTCCTTACGGGCTTGGAGGGACAACTTTAAATTGCTGCCTATGCATGTGGTCTTGAATGAGATTCTGCTGAGTGCTATATCAAAATATAAAAGATGTCACTACATCTAGATAGAAATATGTCCAGTTTGTTTCTAATAAATCAAATAAAATTTTCCTCTATGGGTTTTAAAAGTGATCCTCCACAGTTTCCTCACTAACAGTACTAATTCCGAATCTACACACCATGGCTGACAAAAAGGTAGGGGCAGGGGCAAGTGAAACTCCTACCACCCAGACTGAAGGGCATAAAATCAGTCTCTGTCAATTGAGGAATTATTTTAGGAATTATTATTCCTAAAAGGAATTATTTGGGACACAGGATACAGCCTAAACATAAAATGAGGCTGTTTTTAATATTCACCTGAGTCATCCTGTGCCAATCTACCAAGAATATTCACAGAAGTCTTCTATGAATATGACAAGCAAAGAGAAAGACTGTATCATATAAAATTCATGCTTACACATTTATGAAATGCATGGACTACTTAACAGGGAGTGAAAGCAATGTTTTCCAACAGCGATTTAAAAATTCAAATATGGCATAATCTAATGGATAATGCAGGGAGACGACACGTTCTTTCTAACCAGGCAAAAAACATCATTTCAATGATGCCAACACTGCACACTCCTAGCACCTGTGGAGCGACGGCTTTCCCGCCGTCTGCATGGGATGCATGCCTGTTCGGCTGAAGAACTGATTCAACCAACGTGGCCAGCCAGCCTGTGCACACGCCTCGCCGCAGAACCACGGGTGTGGTGTTGGACAGAAATTCTACAATGTTGAAAACAAAGTGAAGCTTCCCTGGGTGAGACAGACTTGAGCTGCAAAGAAACACACATTTTTAAACACTGTTAAGACTAAAACATTCAGGCCAAACTAAGTTTTTTTTTTGTTGTTGTTGTTTTGTTTTTTAAATATATTTTATTGATTTTTTACAGAGAGGAAGGGAGAGGGATAGAGAGTTAGAAACATTGATGAGAGAGAAACTTCCATCAGCTGCCTCCTGCATACCCCCTACTGGGGATGTGCCCACAACCAAGGTACACGCCCTTGACCGGAATTGAACCTGGGACCCTTCAGTCCGCAGGCCGACACTCTATCCACTGAGCCAAACCGGTTAGAGCCTAAGCTTTTTTTATTGCAGTGAGAACACAGGGAGGGGCAAAGTAGGTTTAGTTGTGAGTACAAGAAACAGAATTATTTTTGTGTTATTACTGATAAGTTATTGTATTATTTCCGTATGAACAACTGTAAACCTACTTTTGCTCCTCCCTGTATTCCCTTGAGCGCGAATGCACCTTCTGACTCCTCAGAGAGAAGAATTCTGTTGCTACTTAAAAGCCTCCCCCACCCCCACATTTTGTGATAACATTCTGGGAAGTTTCTAATAACCTGTTTGCCTTCAAGACTAGATAAGATTCATACACTTTTCCCGCTCCTCCCCACCCTTATCCACTGCCCCATGAAGGCCGCTGGGCACACAATATCGGTGGCAGGAGGAGGACCTAAAGAAGTGGGAGCATGGCCCCACTGAAGAGCCCCTACTCTGTGACCTCGGGGAGGATGGGATACTTGACACTGGTCAGCTTCACTCCTCGTTATGCCTGCTATTGTCACCACAATCGGGTAAGATTTCACTGAATAAATGCGAAGGATTTGGAAGTTGGACTTCCATAACATTTTGGGAGGAAGATACTATATATCATGTTAATAAATATCAGTACCTTGCACATGAATATGGTCTGGGCTGGAGCTTAGGAAGGTGTTCTAGAAAAAAAGAAAAATAAGCAATCATTAATTCACAGCTACTGAAAATAAATGCTACATAAGGGATAAAAAAATTCAAGTTCTCATTTGATTTTTATTTTATTTAGAATATTAAAAATAATTTGTTTTAGCCCTAGCCAGTTTGGTTCAGTGGATAGAGCATCAGCCTGAGGACTGAAGGGTCCCAGGTTCAATTCCGGTCAAGGGCACATGCCCAAGTTGTGGGCTTGATCCCCAGTGGAGGACTGTGGAAGGCAGCCGGTCAGTGATTCTCTCTCATCATTGATGTTTCTGTCTCTCTCTCTCTCTCCCTTCCTCTCTGAAATCAATAAAAATATATTTAAAAAAGTTTTAGTTTTAAATAATATTTTAAGCACATGTAAATGCACAATGTAAAATACTATTGAAAGGAAAAAAAAAAGAAACAATAAAATACTATTGAATACTTTTCTCCAATTCCTAAAGTAAACCAGATTTACTGTATTTTCTCAATCTGAAATCAGTATTTCTACCTAAGGGCTGATTTCTAAAACTAAAGGGTGTTACAGAATAGGGTCCATGAGTGCAGGTAAGGGTCAAGGAACCCATTAAATTTTCTGAGTGTATGTGTGCAGCTTTCTGAGGGGAGTGTTCAGAGTCTTCAGATTTGAAGTAAGATCATGACCCCAGAAAGATTAAAGACCACTATTTTACAAATTATGGGAACTACTGAGGCTTAAAATATTTTTCCTTCTTATATTTACATGATAGTAAAAAAAACAAACAAAGGGGAGGGTGGGATAGGCACTTTAAATCAGGTTATCCAGAAACATAGTGGTTTCAAGATACATAGGCACTCTTAAAGAAGGTTAAGAAATCAGTATTTGAATATCTAATCCCGCGCTAACAAGCTTTGGAATTTTTCAATTTTATCTTTGTAATAACTTTCAAAGTCATATTGGTAATAGTAAAAATTTTCAGTGTCATATTTGTTATAGTAACTTAGCAAAAATTTGGAAAGACCTTTCTAAAATGGCTTAGTTTTAAGAAATATAAAAAGGTTTCATACAGGGCTCAAATTTTTTATATAACTACTAGAGACCCGGTGCACAAAATTTGTGCACGGGGGGTTGGGGGGGTTGGTGGGTTGGTGTCCCTCAGCCCGACCTGTGCCTTCTCCTGTGAGGAGCAGGCCTAAGCAGTCAGTTGGACATCTTTAGTGCTACTGAGAAGGTGGGAGAGGCTCCTGCCACCACAGCTGCACTCACCAGCCACGAGCCCAGCTTCTGGCTGAACAGCACTTCCCCTGTGGGAGCACACTGATCACCAGGGGGCAGCTCCTGCATTGAGCATCTGATCCCTTGTGGTCAGTGTGCATCATACCAACCGGTCGTTCCGGGTTGGGCCGAAACTGGCTCTCTGACATCCCCGGAGGGCTTCCGGATTGCAAGAGGGCACAGGCCAGGCCGAGGGACCCCACCGGTGCATGATCAGGGCTGCGGAGGGATATGGGAGGTGGACAGCTGGGGAGGGACCGAGGGAGGGCTCCAGGGCGTGTCTGGCCCATCTCACTCAGTTCTGATCAGCTGGACCCCAGCAACAAGCTAACCTACTGGTCAAAGCATCTGCCCCCTGGTGGTTAGTGCACATCCTAGCGACTGGTCGACCGGTCAACTGTTTGCCCCTTGGTGGTCAGTGCACGTCATAGCGAGCGGTTGAGTGGCCTTAGCATATCATTAACATATTCTGCTTTGATTGGTTGAACGGCTGACAGGACAGTTAGCATATTAGGCTTTTATTAATAGGGTGTAATAAATGATATATAAAAGTTTTAAAAGGTAGTTGGAAATCCATAAAAAGAAACACACTTTACTATGAGTGAGAGTTTCCCAAGACGTCATACGACTTCCCTGCACGTGTTCTGAATGTTACCCCAAGCCCTCTATTAGCCTAAAAAACGCAAATAAAAAGGCGGGAGTATTTGTGTGAACACAGAGAAGTAGGGAAGAGCAGCCTCATTTGGTAACACTTTTGAGGAGGAGGAAAGAGATCAAAATACTAAGAAATGTAAGGAACAAGAAAGCAGGACTGACTTGTACAGGAGAGGGTCCTTAAATGTACTGGCATCAAAAGGCACCTTGCTGGCCCAACAGTAAAAAGTACAATACACGTTTCCTGCCACCAAAGATAAATGCAAATTTTGGGGATTTTATAAGTATCACTACAGGTACAGAGAGCAGATGACAAAATTTTAAGCGTAGGGAAATAAGAGTCACCGAGACTCCACTGAAAGTCCCTTCCTCCCCTGGACCAGGTCCTCAGAGAGAATCTTCTGTGGAGTTTGAGAACCCCAATATACGGTATGAACAAAAAACAGGTCCAACTTACATGTGAATATTCTGTGACAGGTCTCCCCCATCTTAACACCTAGAAACACCCTAAATAATGCCCCTTGTACTGGGAGGACATGATGAGTCCGCCCTTTGCTCTTAAAGAACCCTAAATCTGGACTTGCACACAAAATGTTTCCTTCTGCTTCCTGCACACAAAGCACTTCCTGCACACCTCATCAACCGCCATCAATTAAATATAATGTTCATTATTTTTTTAAATCATTTTTTTCTTAGAAAGCTCGTTTTTAGATAAAATTTAGAAAAATGCTTTCTGAAAAACAGTAAAATTAAAATACACCGAATGCTGAGCAAAAAAGATTTGGGGGACGTCTATAATACTGACAATAATAAAAAAGAGAGGCTATATTAAGAGAGAAAATGATGGTGACAACAGAAGAAAAAAGGAAAGAAAAAAGCTTGGGAGAGGGATTCTTTCTGACTTCTAGAAGGCAGTTCTGATGTCATGGCGCCTGGAAGACAAACTGTAAGATGTTTACCTCCTGCTCACAGATCATTCAGACGTGTCCCGCATAGAATTCAAAGAGCCACATGCCAGCAGCCATTGTTCTTTAGCACCAAGAGCTGCCCTGGAGCTCAGGGCAATGACCGTGACCACTCACCGAGTAGGAGGCTGAGCGGAGGCTGGCAGGACGGGAAGGCGAGCAGGAGGTCTAACAAGTTGGCACAGGCATCCCTCACAAAACGGTTATAATCGGCCGCTCCCTGTCGGCTGCACAGCTCCTGCAGCCTTCGCTTTTCCGCACCATCACTGGTACAGTCCACAAGGGCTCGCAGAAATGCCTGTGACCCAAGCAAAGGAAGCAGACTTAAATTTCCACGTGCTCTGGGATTATGGCTATTAGACTGTCTGCATCTACCTGGGAATGTGCCTGATTATCCAAGGAAAAGTGAGAGAGCCACTACAAGTGTGGTCAGAAAAAGACAATTTACTTTGCTTATTTGCTTTGTCAGCCTGTTAAGAAAACCCACGTTTATGTTCTATTTTTGTTTACCTTTCTTATGTCCTAAACCGACCTCCTCAGTCAAAAGTATGATCTCAAATTACATGTCAGGTGTATCTGAGTAAAAATGACCAAGAAGTCTCATAACTCAACATTTTGTCTCAGTACGAAACACTGTTCTTGTCTTAGCTGATGATGACAACCTAGACTTCTACATTTATTTGGCAACTGTTAAGTGCTTTTGATGTGATAGGCACTGGGACAAAATGACACCTACCTAGCCCGTAAGGGTTCACAGCTAGTGAGAGCAACAGAAGTCAAGGAGTAATTAGCGTGCAAGAGGCTACCTCCCCCAAAGGGGCACACACAGGATGTTAGGACTTCACAGAATGCAAGCCTGAGCTGAAGGCTGGCCACATGAAACCAGGGGAGTGAAGAAAGCTAAACAGATGGCATGGCTACATGAAGGCACGGGACCACGTGCAGTTCAATCTGGGTGCAGAGGAATGTGGACATGAGGCTGAAGAGACAGAGGGTGAGAACAGTATGTGGACACTCAGTCACTCAGATTCATTGTAGAAAGAGGAAAATATGAACAAATAAAGCAAAACAAAGTCTTCAAGCCAAAGTCCAAACACTTGGGCAAAAGACCTAATATGCTAATAACATCTTACGATTCCAACGCACAATTCCGAGCTTATCCATTCAATGGCAAACACAGCTCTTACTACTCAAGGTTATTTAGGATGAAAGCACTTCAGCAAGTTATTTGCATCAAATCTTATCTGAAATGCTAATGGATGCTGCTACTTTTTATTCCATGGTTCAGACATCGTGTGTCCTGGACTCCCTCAACAGGGTAGACTAGATTGCTGCTCTTGTGGGGTCACGGGTTTCCACGGGCTCAGTTATGAACTTGCCTAAATGATCCAGAGACTAACACATCACATGGCTTTCTCAAAGTGCCAGACACAATGCCAATCACACAACAAGCACTCGGGAAACGCAGTAGAATGAATAAACATCCAAGACTCTGGAGGAATCTATGGTAAGGTAATAACATTTACCTGTAACACTTTGCATCAATTTCTCAAATCAATGAAAATCCTAAATTACAGTAAAACAATGGCAATTGTAAATCCTTTAAGTTATTTTTCACTTTAGAATTATAAAAACTTTATTGGCACTAAAATAGGATATACTGCACTGTTTGTAGAAAATAAGCTGACAAACATTAGTAAAATTTAAAATACAAGTATTTTTAAAGTAGCAATTCTACTCCAAAAAATTTGTGTAAAATAATATTTCAAACAGGTGGCAAAGATGAATATAGTGAAAGAATGTTCACCGGGGTATTTAAAAATATATCTATTTTTATTGATTTCAGAGAGGAAGGGAGAGGGAGAGAGAGATAGAAACATTAATGATGAGAGAGAATCATTGATCGGCTGCCTCCTGCACACCCCTTACTGGGGATAGAGCCTGCCACCCGGACATGTGCCCTTGACTGGAATCCAACCTGGGACCCTTCAGTTGGTAGGCCGATGCTTTATTCACTGAGCCAAACCAACTAGGGCCACCTGGTTTGTTTGTTTTTAATAGTGAAAAACTGGAAAGAACCAACTGCCCATGATTAAGTCAGTAATTTAATTATGGTGCATCCATGTCATCTGTTATTTTATCTCTAATAATCTTTCCATGTTATGGTATACAAACTCCTGATTTCTTTTTAGATAAAAAACCGCACGTTACAGAATGGTATGTATACTATAGGACCTAATTTTTTTTTTTAACAAACAAAATTCAAGCATTAACTCTGAGGATTTGATTATAAGGGACTTTTGCTTCCGGAGCTAGCTATTTTTGTATCTTGAATGTTTACAATGAGCATATTACTTTTGTAGTAAGAAAAAAAAAATATATAAAGGCTTACATACTTTATGAAATTCTAAAGCTTTCAGCATAGTGAATCCTAAATTTGCTCATATCATGTCAAGGATTGAACCTTTCTCTAGAGTAGCTTGCTTCCCAAAGGTGACAAATGCAATAAACACATTAATAAAACAGAATAAAAACTGCGCCATTAGCCTAATAACAGCACTGTTTAGGCTCACTGGTCATACCAGTTTGGCAAAGCACAGGCTGGAAAATTTTACTCCTTAACATCATTTGAGGGAAATGGTTAGAAGAAAACTGTTACATTTTTTAAAAATATAGCTCTGGGCCTAACACATCTAGTGGACAGTTCTATCTCCAAATTCATCTAAATATCAATGTAGCCTACCAAAACCTTTCAATACTTCCTGAAGAATTCTGACTTAACAATAAATATGTCCATAGTTTTACATAAAAGGAAGCTTAACAACATTAATTAGGTGACAAGTGGGGTGGGGGAGGGGGAGACTACACTCTCCTAAGTTTCTTGCCCTCTTTTAGAGAGACAAGCTGTCAATGTGAAGTTGGATAACACAAGATCATTATCTAGGGTCACTTTCATCACTAATGTGCTACATCAAGTTAATGTCCAGTAAAAGACTAACAAAAAACCCTATATAACAAATCTTGTTTCAATAGAAAACATAAAATTTAAATGTAATCACAATATAAAAATATTTGCCTATGACAACTGTAAAGATTCTACACACCTTTGGGAATTAATTTTGAAAGCATGCTGTGAAGATCCTATTGTCTAAGCCTTCAAAGGGCAGTTACCAGGTCTATTTAATAAACCACAGAGCTAAGCATATTTGTAAACAGTTCCCAAAGAAGAAAGAAAAGTACCTTTTTAGGGACTGCTCGTATTTCGAGGCACCAGGTAAGAATGAACTGGAGAGAACATCTCTCGGGTATATGCTGGGGCAAGGCTGCTCCTTTTCAGGGAGACAGGAAGGCATTCGTGACACAGAAAATAAACAGTAAAATGTTTTGCATTCCTAAAAACATAAGTAACAGTAATGCCTTACATTATAGTGTTACAGTAGGATTTGCGACATTGTTTATTCAGTCAAAAAATTTCCCCAAAATAAATACAGCAGAAAAACGTACCTTACCAAAAAAAAAAAAAAAAAAGAATTACAAATTCAATAGCTATCACGACCAAATCTAGGTATGCCAAATAAAAAAGGAAAGAAAATTACCCAAAACCAAGGAACAGAAAGCTAACTGTGGCAGTGGTCCGTTAACATCGTGTGTGATTCTCAAAAAGAATGGTAGAATTGACTGAGCTCAAGTTCAAGACTAAGAAATAACAACAACAAAAATAACTTCCTTTAATTATGAATAAAAGCAATTATTTATATTAAATAATATGCCATGATAAACATAATAGGAAAACAATTTTTTTAAAAGGTTCGTATAATAAAAAAGTTTTTCTTGTATGACATTTTAATATGTGATCTTAGAAACAAAATGATGTTTATTTATTTATTTTTTATAGCAAAGGTGGAAATTTATTAAAGAATAAGTACAGACTCCCACGTAGGGAGGAGGAAGAGTCCCACAGAACAAACTCCCATGTGGGGAGGGGGAAAGGGTCCCCAAAATAATGTTTATTGCAAAAAGCAAACCAACAAATCAGCCCAACTAACCAACCTGCTTCTCTAAGACCAGTTACATTCCCTTTTAATGTCAGTAAGTGTCCAATAAGCATAAAATGCACCATCATCTCACTCTGTAACTGATGTGAAGGTCAAGAATCCTGTAACACCAGCCAGGGCCTGGCATGTGGCTGACCCTCTGGTGCTGAATGGGAGCCCGGGAGGAGGTGCACTTACATTTGCCACCTCTGATTTGTTGGCCCAAGGACACCTGAAGAAAGAGATCAGGGACATACCTTTCTTCTTGGTGTCAGCCTTAATTTTCAAGAGGACAAGGTGTTCCCTTTGGTCTGTGAGCTGCAATCTTTGGAGTAGGCTTTGTACCTCAGAGTCACTGTTGGGACAGATCAAGTTGAAGGCATCCCCAGGCTGGTAGGAAAAATCTGTTTTCTAGATAAGAACCAACAAAAAAATCTCAAATTAATTAAAGATTTCAGTTATGCACAACAAAATCATAGTTTTATTATAATGACCATTTTAATACATAAAGTAGAAAAAAATGATTCTAATTGTAAAAAAGCTAACAAGACCAATAAACTGAAGGAACATACTATCAGGAGTTATTTTAAAAATGAAATTCCACATTTATCCAATATTTTGCTTTATATCACTGAGTATTTACAGAATAAAAATGAAGAACTTCCTCATTTTCTAAAGAGTAAGGGACCTCCGTAAGTTAGTAATCCATGTGCAAAAACTCTCCTATGAAAACATACACACATATATACACAGGCACACACACACATTATGAACAAAAGAAACTATTCCAGGCCGTCTGTATTAGTTTTCAATTTCCTTCTGTTACTCTTTTCCTTTGGGGAGAAATAGAGTGGGAGAGAACACTATTCTATCCTTCACTACTTGACAATGTTATACCATCTGGCTGTGAACACACATGGGCTGGAGAGGAGCCACTTCCCGCTGCCTGTCTATTGCATAGGCCAGGGTCCTGCAAGGGGCCTCTGACCACACAGGCTCACACCCCTAGCCTGCGAGAGAGACAGACTGGACCCACCAATTGGCCAACTCTTTGCCTCTTTACGAGGACAAAAGTGTAGAACAGCAGAATATTCTTAATATTCCGTATTGTTAAATATTCTATACATGTGAAAACGTTTTATTTGATGAGTACAGAATATTTAACAACACGGAATATTAAGAACTTTCAAAACAAATAAATAAGCAAAAATTTGATGCCTGTTGTATTTCTTTTTTACTATTAGGAAACTCAATTAAATTTACGTAAGTCTGGATACACCCTAATTTTTCTGAAATCACAACCCACTGCACTTCCCAGGACCTTCATCAAAACAGAGGTTTGAGTTATAAGACTTGGAAGAAGTACTCAGGTATTGAGGTCTCAGGATTATCCATCAGTTTCTTGAGTAATGGATTGGGGGATCATTGAAGAGGGGCTTGGGGATGGAGTTCAGAGATAAAGTACATGTTGCTTCCTGAAACTGCAGAAAATATTTATATAATCATTTCTCTGGAAAGGGGGTCAGTGATTGTTTTTTTTCTTCAGATTCTCAAAGGAATGAGAATTAGTACTGAAAAATGAACTTTTCTATGACTGTGTAGTCTGAACTCTATTTCCAGCTAGCTGGCTGATCTCAGGTAATCAGCTTTCTTTCAGGCTCTTCTCATATGGAAAATACTGTTGTGATTCCATGATTCTTTCTTGGCTTAATGTGTAAGGCAGCAACACTATTCCCAATCTGATTCCCCTCCAGAGGCACTGCTCACTTTAGGCCCTCCCAGAGTGAGGAGAAAACAGGAGTGAGTGGGAAGAAGTATGATGGGTTAAGGATAAAAGGCAGGTGTCCTGTCAGACTCACTCTTCCTGAGTGTACATTCTAGAACACCACACAAGTCTCTCTGCACTTCTCGACAACATAACTGTGCTGAGAAATAAATTCTGCAACTTACTGAAATGTCCAATTCTACTAGAAGAGTAGTTTTTATGGCATCATTTGTAGTCAGCTGAACTGCCTTTGAAACTGGAACTTGAAAAACTGGATCCACTGAAGTCACAGATTCTTGGCTTTCCTCCTTGAGAAACAAATGTGATAAAATATGACTAAATGCAATTTTCAATAATACCATTGCTTCACTTCGTGACTAGGTGAGATCTATAGGATCTTATAAAGTATCCAGGCTATTTACGTATCCTTCTTTGAGGTAAGTGACTACACACAGATGCTCCTCCATCTTTCAGAAGAGAAGCTCACCTATACTTTAAGTGCCTTGTCTGTTAGACTTTAGAATTTCTGAGATATGCATACCAGATACTAGCATCCTCATGTAAATGTCCAATAGTCTTCCTAATAAGCTATGCAGAAGGAAACGGCATGCATGCATATTTTAGGGAGGTGATTCTGAAGGAAATGACAGATGTTTAAGACAGGAAGATGTCTGTCTGGATGGTCAAAAGAACCCTCAGTTGTGGGCAATGATGTTTAACAGAGCTTTCTTGATAACAAGAATGTTCCCTACTAGACAATAAGGAGTGCTAGTCCCATGTGCCTACTGAACACTGGAAATATGGCTAGTGTGATTAAGAAACTGGATTCTTTATTTTGTTTAATTTTCAAGAATTTACATTTAAGTGGCCACACATGCTAGTGGTGCTTGTATTAGACAGTACAGATCCTGGGAAACTATAAAGAAATCCAATTCTGTACCATCTTGACACCTTTTCCAACTTGATGTTTCCAAGTTCTAATTAAAACAACAACAACAAATCTAATAAAAATTAGGCAAAGGACCTTAATTGACATATCTCCAAAGAGGACATACAGATGGCCAATAGACATATGAAAAGATGCTCAATGTCACTAATCATCAAAAAAGTGCAAATTAAAATCACAATGAGATATCACCTCATACCTACCAGAATGGGTACCATCAATAAATCAACAAGTAAGTGCTGGCGAGTATGTGGAGAAAAGGGAACCCTTGAACACTGTTGGTGGAAATGTAGATTAGTGCTGCTACTGTGGAAAACAGTATGGCGTTACCTCAAATAATTAAAAATGGAATATTGCCTTATGACCCAGAAATTCCACTTCTGGGAATATATTCGAAGAAACCAGAAACATTAATTCAAAAGAATATATGCACCCCTATATTCACTGCAGCATCCTAATATAATAAAAGAGAAACATGTAAATGGACTGTCCCTCTGCTACACTCACCAGCTAATCAGGAGTATGCAAATTAACCCAACCTAGATGGCAGGTTAATTTGCATACACAGGCACTGGGCGGAGAGCAGAGCAGGAGAGCTGGCAGCTTGGGGGGACGTGGCTCCCTCGGTCGCTCCCCCATGCCGCCGGGCAGAGAACAGAGCAGGAGAGCCAGAGGCTTGGGGGAACATGGCTCCTTCAGTCGCTCCCAGCAACCGAGGGAGCCATGTTCCCCCAAGCCGCCAGGTGGAGAGCAGAGAGGGAGAGCTGGCAGAGAGTGGAGTGGCTTGGGGATCTTGGCTCCCCAAGCCGCCAGACAGCGAACAGAGAGGGAGAGCTGGCGGCTTGGAGGACTTGGCAGAGTGGGAGGCTGTGGGACAGAGACAGAGCAGGAAGGGAAAACCAAGAGTGTGGGGAGCACCAGGAATTCTGGGAATAGTAGTTCTGGTGGCAGCCCCAGGACCTAAAGCAGAAGCCCAGAGCATGGGGAGCATCAGGAATGCTGGGAATTGTAGTTCTGGTGGCAGACAGATCTCCCAGACCAGCCGTGGGCAAACTACGGCCCGCGGCTGGATCCGGACCGTTTGAAATGAATAAAACAAAAAAAAAAAAAAAAAAAGACCATACACTTTTATGTAATGATGTTTACTTTGAATTTATATTAGTTCACACAAACACTCCATCCATGCTTTTGTTCCGGCCCTCCGGTCCAGTTTAAGAACCCATTGTGGACCCTCGAGTCAAAAAGTTTGCCCACCCCTGCACTAGGGCAAAGTGAGCCTAGAGCAAGTTACTGTTGTAGTTGGGGATGGAAGGAAAGCAACGGTGAGAGACATAAGTAAAATCAGAGTGTCTAGGAAAAATTAAAGTGAAGATATCTTAAAACTTCCAGGAAATCTCCACCAATGAAGCAAAGAAAAAAAAAATGCCTCTATTATTCTGTGAGCAACAAACCAAACTGGGTTGGGTCTCGGGCAATTCGCTCATATGACTGCAAAGACAGACAAACTCCTGGATTGGAGAGGGCTCCCCTGAGGGCTCCCAGATTGGAGAGGGTGCAGGTTGGGCTGAGGGACCCACCCCCAGTGCACAAATCTTTGTGCACCGGGCCCCTAGTTTTTTATAATAGCCAAGATTTAGAAGTAGCCTAATTACCCATCAGTAGATGAGTAGATAAAAAAAGCTGTGGTACATTTATACAATGCGATATTACTTGGCTGTAAAAAAGGGAAACTTTATCTTTTGAGATAGCATGGATGGACCTGGCCCATCAGAGATAAGTACCACATGATTTCACTTATATTTGGAATCGAATGTACAAAATAAACTAGTAAACAAAGTGGAGACAGACTCATGGATACAGAGAATAGACTGACACCTATCGGAGGGGAACGGATTGGAGGCTGGATGAAAAAGGTGAAGGGATTAAGGAAAAGAAATCTCATAGACTCCGACAACAGTATGGTGATGATAAGAGGGAAATGGGGGTAGGGGCTGTTAAAAGAGTGTAAAGGGGGAAATAACTGGTGATGGAGGGAGACTTTATTTGGGATAGTGAACACACAGTACAATATGCAAATGATGTATTATAGAACTACACTCCTGAAACTGTATGATTTTATTAACCAAAATCACCCAGTAAATTTTAAAAAGTAGAAACTTACATTTAACAAAATGTAGTGAATTCATTTTGGATAAGTGGCTGCATGGAAAGCTGGAAGAGGGTCAGGGCTGACAGCCTGAATCGCAGATATTATGTGGGGCACAGGGACATCCTCTCCTCCCCTGACCCATTCCCCTAGGTCAGTGGTCGGCAAACCGCGGCTCGCAAGCCACATGCGGCTCTTTGGCCCCTTGAGTGTGGCTCTTCCACAAAATACCAGCTGTTCCACAAAATACCGACTTCTGCGCATAGGCCACGAAGTTTCAATCGCACTGTACATGCGCGCCCGCATGTGGTATTTTGTGGAAGAGCCACACTCAAGGGGCCAAAGAGCCGCATGTGGCTCTTGAGCCGCGGTTTGCCAACCACGGCCCTAGGTGATGGTCCCAAAAGGATGCCTTAATAAGAGAAACTTTAACAATCGCTTTCCCTCTAAGTGTGTCCTTGGAGCAGAGTTACACAAGTTTTCCTTAAATAGTTGAGATTTAAAAATCTTTTAACCATATTCCTGATGAACAACTCTAGCCTATTTCATGACACCTACCATAAGAGGAACTCTCTTAGCAGACCCTCCTCCTACTGAAGCGATTTGTCAGATTAACCATGGCTCGCACTGCCACGGTCACGTCTCCATCCTTGTAGAGTAGAGATGGGGCGTCTATACCATGTCAGTGCACTCTGCACCCACCAGTCAAGGCATATATTTACTTGGTCCCTGAAATTTCCTACATGTTCAGGTTAAATTTCCAGTGCAGCCAATCTTTTAAAGCAGAGCCAAATCCTCTTTCCTTAGTTCCAAATCTGACTAAAATGTACTTTATTATAATTCACTTAATTAAACAATTCACAAAAATAATGCAGCATAAAAAACCATAACCCATAGTTATCTATGTAAAAACACACTTGTTTATCTGACTGCTTTAGAAAGACATTACAAAAATACTAGAGGCCCAGTGCACGGATTCATGCACCACTGGGGTCCCTCGGCCTGGCCTGCACCCTCTCGCAATCTGGGATCCCTTGGGGGATGTCTGAGAGCTGGTTTCAGTGCATGAATCTGTGCACTGGGCCTCTAGTATTCATGTAAGATCTTTGGTTAATCTCTTCCGGCCCCCCCATCCCCCCTTCCCTCTGAGATTCATTAGTCTGTTTCATGTTTCCATGCCTGTGGTTTCCGCTACTGTGTTGAGCATCTGCCCCTTGGTGGTCAGTGCGTGACCACCAGTCGTCCGGTCACTTAGGCTTTTATATATATAGATGATGCTGCCCTAGCCGGTTTGGCTCACTGGATAGAGCATCGGCCGGCAGACTGAAAGGTCCCAAGTTAGGTTCCGGTCAAAGGCACATGCCTGGGTTGTGGGCCCGATCCCCAGTGGGAGGCGTGCAGGAGGCAGCCAATCAATGATTCTCTTTCATCATTAATGTTTCTGTCTCTCTCTCCCTCTCCTTTCCTCTTTGAAATCAATAACCCCCAACCCCCAAAATATGATGCTAAAAAATGCTATCACATCAGATGTTTGCAAATAGCTCTAATGTATTAGAAAGTTGTACTTAACTTGTTTCTCAAATGCCTAAGTGTTTCTTCATTAAAAAGAAAAAGAAAATAAAGAACTACAAATCACTCTTGCAGCTTTGAGGGTGTGGTTTAAGTAAGAAAGCCTGTGTAGAACTCCAATCAGGCATCTTTTTTTTTTTTTTAAATATATTTTATTGATTTTTTACAGAGAGGAAGGGAGAGAGAGAGTTAGAAACATCGATGAGAGAGGAACATCGATCAGCCGCCTCCTGCACATCTCCTACTGGGGATGTGCCCACAACCCAGGTACATGCCCTTGACCGGAATCAAACCTGGGACCTTTCAGTCCGCAGGCTGATGCTCTATCCACTGAGCCAAACCGGTTTCGGCCCAATCAGGCATCTTAAGAAAGCAGACTTGGCTCTGCATTAACAAACTGGTTGCGCTGAAAATTTACCATAAGCACACTGTAGGAAATTTCAGGAAACCATATACTGGCAGCCATGGGGAGAAGTTAGCTATTATTCCATGTGAGTGCAAAAATTTACAGACCACTTTAAAGTTCTTTAGTAGATAGAAAAAATAGTGTAGACAAATAAAAAGACTTATTATAGATAAAAACAAGTTTATAAGATACTATCAAGAAAAATAATAGTCCCTAAAATGGAGCATCCAGGATACCAAAATCCACACTGGAAAAGATTTTATTCTAAAGGATTCCTTTAAGATGAGCTGCTGAGATAATATCCTGACTGACCACAACAACTTGCCTTTCTCTGACTCACATCTAAAATAAGAAACCAAGAAGTCAATTCTCCAAAATATTGGAAAAACTGAGCTCTTAACCATTTACTTCTTCAAAGACACAAGTAATGTAATACTACAACTGCTTCTACAGTGCATGGGGGCAGGCCTCTGAGGTAAATACTCAACTCTGCCACTGCAGTGCACGAGTAGCCACAGAGGCTTGTGAATGGATGGGTGTGGCTGTGAGCTTGTGAATGGATAGGCTGTGTTCCAATAAAACTTTATTTACAAACCACGAGAGAGGTGGTGGGTCATGTTTGATCAGCAGGCCACAGATTGTTAAATTCTGTTGTAATCTAATTAAACAAAACAAAACAAAACAAACAAAAAACCCACATCTATGGTAAGATAATACATAGCTTGAAGCAAGACTGCTTACCTGGCCAGGAGACTCATGCAAATGCACCTGTAAATATTCCGGTGGTAAAGCAGGAATATTCAGAGAGGCCTGGGAAAGTGGGGGTATTGAACGGGTAAGTGAGGACTCAAGCTCTGCTATCAAAGCACTTGATTGATCTCTGTTCACTGCATTTTGTTCCAAAACCTCAGAATCCTTTCTTCCCGAGTCATCTAATCTGAGAAGTTCAACTTGTGATTCGATGTGTATTAATTCTGGTTTCACAGGGTCCATCTTCTGGGAGACAGTCGATGCTGTTGTGAGAGCCACACTCATCTCTTCTATTCCTTTACTTGACACAAAATGCTTTGTGAGGGCAGCCCAGAGCCCATCAATCCACGGCTCAACGACAAGTTCTAAACTGGATTGTTGTAAAAAAAGGGAAAAAGAAACAAATGCCTGAGTTCTCCATTTAAATACATTAGAATTGCCCTAGCTGGTGTGGCTCAGTTGGTTGGAGTGTCTTCCCGTACACCAAAAGGGTGGCAGATTCAATTCTAGGTCAGGGCACATACCCAGGGTTTGGGTTTGATCCCCAGTTGGGGTGCGTGCAGGAGGTAACCAATGGTTCTCTCTCACATTGATGTTTCTACCTCTCTCCCATTTTCTCTCTGAAATCAATAAAAAATAAAAATAAGCCCTTACCGGTTTGGCTCAGTGGATAGAGCGTTGGCCTGCGGACTGAAGGGTCCCAGGTTCGATTCCGGTCAAGGGCATGTACCTTGGTTGCGGGCACATCCCCAGTAGGGGGTGTGCAGGAGGCAGCTGACCGATGTTTCTAACTCTCTATCCCTTTCCCTTCCTCTCTATAAAAAATCAATAAAATATATTTTAAAAATAATATATTTTTTTAATTCCACAGAATTTTAGGCAACTGTGAAAAACAGTAGGAAGACTATTCAGGATACAAGAATTAATGATGGATGCCTAAGTTAAAAAGCAGAATATTATTCTTAGTTCATTAGCACTGAGCTGTAAAAAATATGAGCATGTATAAAAGTTAAAGAACAGAAATGAAGATATTTTAGTAGTAGTAATTGAATGTTTTTCCTCTTAATAAATTTCCTAAAATAGAGTTGGTAATCTTTATTTTAAAAAAGTTTTAATTTTAAACCAGCATGCTAAATTTTGATGTGGCTAACAGAACTTAACCAAAATACAAGTTTACCCTAATGTACAAATGATAATTTTATCAATTGAATGCAGTATCTTTCTTTGTCTAGCCAATTTACTAATCTTTTTTTCCTACATATTAAAATAGTGCTAAGAAATTACACAAACAAATGCTAACACTTTTGATTAAGTAATTGTTCAAATCCTCTATCAGTTCTGAACAATTTTTCTGGTAAAATTTGCAGGGAGGCAGAACACAGGAGGAAAAAGCAATCATCCTTCAGGGAAGCGGAACTGATCACAAGTACATCTGAAATGTGTCGGTCTACTTACTCCTAAGTAAGTGTGGTTACTCCACAATAACATTCCACACATTCCCTGAACAGAGAAGTTATGAGTGAACAGATAAGAACGACTGTGTCAAGAACTTGGAAAGAACATTACTGTCATCTTTAATCACAACTCAAAAGGAGGTACCAATTAAATTCCAATTCATAACATTTTAGACTCTGTATTATTACGACTCTTGCTAATTTCATTGTATTCATTAGGTGCTCACACAGTACATAGCTCAAAATTTGGTTATACAGTACATCTAACCCTCATGAGCCTTTGGAAAAGCAAATACATAAAATAATGGGTTCAGTAATGACAGCTACATTGAAAAACCAGTCTCACAACTCAGAAATATGAAGACAATAATCAGAGAGACAGCGAATGTTCACCAGTGCTTACTACATGGCAGGCACTGTTCCAAGAGGACAACCTATATTAATTCTTTTGATCCCCAGAGAACCTTACACAATATATGCCATCATTACTGATTTTACAAAGGAGAAACAGAAGCACAAAAAGCTTAAGTGATCTGACCAAGGTTTTAGTCAGTAAGTCAGGGATCAAGGATTTAAACCAGGTATTTGGCCTCCAATCTGTATTCTTAACTCCTTCAATGTGGTGTTACATTAAAACAGGCATATTCTTGAAAATATTTTAATTTTAGAAAAGGGAAAATTCAAGTAAGGTAGTTAGGTTGAAAATTTAAGACATGCAACTGAAATATAGATTTAAAATTTTTAATGCCTGACCCAATAAATGAATAGAGAAACCAAAGGCCTTTGAAAAGAAGCAAAGTATGGACACAATGAAAGGCCTAAAGAACTATATAAGGAGTTAGGAATTAAACAGCTCACACAAGACAATAAACATTTAATATCAACAAAATTCTGAAAGAAAGCCCAATATGAAGGGACAAAACTAAAAGGTAACATGCAAGAAAATGTGGTAGAACTTTGTCACCATCAAGAACATGTGCACTGGGACATGGAGAAGATCCACTGCACCACAGCTACAGGCACAGCACCACAGCTGCAGGCAGTGATGGACATGAAGGGGGAGTTAAGGGGAATAAAAGTGTATCAAACACACTCATACAAGGTTGTAATATGCAAAAAAGCAAGACATTGGCTGAACCTGTCATTATTCATAAATATAAATCTAGTGAGAATTCATTTAATGTATGCACCTGATAGAAAAATATTAAGTGTGTGTGCTATTATCTGGCCAAAATAGTTAAAGGTTAAATGACAGAACAAGTTGTAGGACAATCAACATCTATCAGATCTTTGAATACACTTTAAGACAGGGGTGGGCAAACTTTTTGACTCGAGGGCCACAATGGGTTCTTAAACTGGACCGGAGGGCCGGAACAAAAGCATGGATGGAGCGTTTGTGTGAACTAATATAAATTCAAAGTAAACATCATTACATAAAAGGGTACGGTCTTTTTTTTTTTTAGTTTTATTCATTTCAAACGTAGTTTGCCCACGGCTGCTTTAAGAGGATTTAAAGGGTGGCAATAGGGTGGAATACTGAGTTGTAAAAGCAAGAGTAAATAAAAGTAATGAAAATAAAAATTGTATTTCTGGTGGGCATTAAGATGTAAGGGAGAGAGTGACAAGGATGTAGCCTGCTGTGAAGGCCCGGATCTACATTCCCTATTAGTGATGCATGGCCTGCTGGTCACCCTCCACGTAAGAAGGCCCTGCTGAGTTACTCTTCGTGTGCAGTCAGAGAAAGGTACACATACAAGATATCAAAGTTCCTAAACAAATTGCCGATTTCTACAAATCCCTACACATTTTAGATAAAGGTAACTGTACTGGGACGCCTTTTGTAATTTCACCCATTAGCAGGTACTGAGAAGGATGAGGCACTTAAACTCGCTACCTTTCGTCATGTACAAACGGGGTTCCCGGAAATGACAGGAGTGCATTGCTCTTACCCCACACAGTCATCCGCATGTCCAGTGTCATAGAAATGCCGGGCACCAAGCTCCTGAAGCCGCTTGTCAATCACCTTCCCCCCATTACAGAAGTACGTGTATTCTGAATCACCCAGACCTAAGAGCCCAAATAGGTTATCAGTGTACAATAAGCTTTAGACTTAAAGAAGATATATGCAAATATTTCAAATAATTCCATTCATTCCCTTTGTGATGGAGAAGAAATAATGCATAACTTCACATTTTCTTATTTTTTCTTTGAGTAATACTAAGTATGAAATAATTTTCTTCTATTTTATAATGTAAAAGTACCAGATACATTGAAACAACAAATACTTTTTGGCCACTGATTAACAGAAAATCTTTTTCACATTCTTTTTTCTATGAATTGGGTGAAAAATACGGAAATCTTAAAACAAGGATTAGGTTTAAAAAACATAATTTCTGTATTTACAGACTTTTCTGATTTGTTGCAGGGGTCTGCAACCTATAGCCTGTGGGCAAAATACACCATTTTCTTTTTTGGTAATATAGTTTCACTGGCATCCAGTCAAATATATGTGTTCACATTCTGTAATGGCAGCTTTCAAGCTCCCACAGCAGAGTTGAGGAGCTGTTACGGAGACCACATGGCCTGCATGCAAAGCCTAAAATACCCATCTGGGCCTTTACAGGGTTTACTGACCCCTAACCTTGAGCATACAAGGTACATCTACAATGTAAACAATCACTGGCTACGTTTCTCTTGGATAAACTAAGAACTGTTTCTATGTTTCCTGGTAAGGAAATGGGCTAACATGTTCAGACTTGGTTGCAAATTTAAAAGTAAAAGCTTAAATTTCTCAGTTTTTTAAATCATTTCCATGTATTTTCTCAACAAAAATAGGATCCATTTATGAGTCTAAGATAGACTATAACATTTGGAAAGAAAGATACATTCAGATACTAGAATTAAAGCCAGTAATGACAGCACAGCCAGAGCAGAAAATATAGTACATACCTAATAACCCATACCGCAGGTGAGCAAAGAAATCACCTGGCAGCGTCTTGTCCTGGATTTTCTTCACGAACTTGCGCGCTGTGTCAGGTGGGTCTCCAGTGCCCGTGGTAGAAACCACCACCACAAGAGGTGCTGTTTCAGTTTTCAGATCATACTACAAAACAAGAATGTCATGTCAGTTCTACTGCTATGTGCAGTTTTGACTTACAACCAGCTTAGTTTCCTGTCTTGAACCTGTCATCAGTAATGCCTATGGCATAAGGACAGAGAGGCACGCAGAACATTTTCAACTTGGGAAGGCAAATTGTTACTCTTCACTATCAGGGCACTTGGCAATCAGGGTCCCAGGGAGCTGAGAACATTAGCAGTGATAAATTGGGATCATCGGTGTTTCCAAGTCTTAAAATCAAGCTTCTTCATTCTGATGTTCACCTAAATGTAAATATTTCAAAAAGAGCACTACACTTCTATGTATGATTCGATGAGCTCTACTGCTAACAAATAGCATCTAGTTTGGCTCAAAGGAATTCACGTTACTTTTCATGCTGATTTAATAGATAAAAATCTGAGCTAAAATTTTATGGGAGAGTCAATACTCACTGGGCACTTCACAAGTTATGTATTACACTCTACACAGTCTGTTAAAGTAACTTCACCTTGAAAAGGACTCACATGATCTAGGAAGTAGAGAGCTATCTGTTTAAACTTGGATCAAGAACTGGAGAAACCATTCACCCGAGGAGATGTTACTGACTTGGTATTGAAAAACACTAACTACTCACCTAACTTTCAAATAGCTGCAGACCTAGGTGGTGAGGTGGCCCAAGGGGCCAAGTCAGGATTAGTTATACGATGACCGTATTTTTGTAAGATTCAGACTGTGGCACCCATAATGTAAACTTACTTTGAAGTTACTACAGAATTACAAAACCTGCCCACTGGTGGTGTCTTCCAGGACACTCCCTATCAGGTGAGTGACTACATCAGGAGTCACCGTGGCCCTTCCTTGAACTGAGTTTATAATTCTTTTGAACTAGACATGTGGGAAAAAACAGAGGAAGTTGTGAACTTGAGTGAGAGTGTACCAGCAGGGCAGTTTTTGAAGTACTGAACTGAATTTGACTGCTTAGTGGCTAAGGCTTCAGCTTGTGCTTGTATGAAAGCCCCTGCTAGTTGCTACGACCTGGATTACTTAAAACAGTAAAATCTGGAGGTCTCAACAGAACTAACTGTAAGAACACAGATCTGTTAAGTTCTTATGGATCCTATGGCAGGGACTGAATGCACAAGTAGTCCCTGACCTAAGGAAGCGGAGTCTTCTCCTGATCTTTACACTCCTGCTTTAAATTCTATTTCACAAAAGAATTAAGTACCCCTTCACTTGGAGGAACTCTGATACAAATGACAAGGTCTTTATTTTGGAGAAATACAAATGGGGCCCTGGGATTCATGAGGTGGAAAGCACACATATGCACGCGAACGCATATATCTCATTGTTCTCACAGCCATCCCATGAGATAAACAAGGCAAAAACTACTGCTTCCATGTTGGTTGATTAAGTAGTTATTTCAGTTTTTGAGACAGTTTAGTCTAATTCAAATGGATAGTTAAGTGTAAAAAAAAGAATAAAAGCTGGTAGGAATCTTAAAACTCTTGATAAAATAATAATTTCTGAGTATTTAAGAGAAAAGGATAAAGGATAAAGTCCTATTTTGTTGTTTAACATCACTGCCAACCAAAATATCTTCAAAGCATAAAACAGTAAAAACCGCAGGAATAACAACTCTTACTTTATCTGATTCACTGATGCAGTGAAGATCTGCAGAAAATCCATGGGCAGCTGCCTTTTCACATATTTCTTCTGCTATGGCCTTTGCCTGTCCTTGCTGTGTAGCATAGAGTAACAAAAACCTTCTCATCTCCTCCAGGCATAAGCTTTAGCTAGAATAGTTACACTGAAAAAATGAAAAAGAGAAAAGAGGATTTTCTTTCAAATAAAGTAGTAACAAACTACAGGTATTAATTCTCCCTCATAGTCTTCAAAAAACATTCCAACAATACCCACACAAAATATGAAATACACTTCTCTGAATCTGTTTGTTAGCATTAATTCTCAAAGCGTCATAAAAAAGAGAATATATCAAACCAGGGAGAACAGAGGAATGAAGCTCTAATTCCACGTCTCAGAAATCATTCTGGGTTCAGATGACTTGGGCTTCAATCCGGGGTCAGTCATTCACACGGCAGAAGCGCAGGCAAGCCTCCCGAGGGGTCTGTGCCTCGGCACCCTCACCCTCTCAGTGGGGGTCACCACAGAAAGGCCTACTGACAAAGACTGAGAAAAAGCACCTGAGCAGTGGCTGAGACACAGCACTGCCCAATTAATCAGATTCCTCTTTGCTTGCTCTTTTAAAAAAGGGAAAAGTAAAACTTGCATTAAAATTGTAGGAGTCATGGGCAGAGGGCCTAAATAGACACTTCTCCAAAGAGGACATACAGATGGCCAATGGATATGTGAAAAAACGCTCAAAGTCACTGATCATCAGAGAGATGCAAATTAAAATGACAACGAGGAATCACCTCACACCTGTCAGAATGGCTACCATCAACAAATCAACAAACGACAAGTGCTGGAGAGGATGTGGAGAAAAGGGAACCCTTGTGCACTGCTGGTGGGAATGCAGACTGGTGCAGCCACTATGGAAAACAGTACGGAGTTTCCTCAAAAAATTAAATATGGAACTGCCATTTGACCCAGTGATCCCACTTCTAGGAATATATCCTAAGAAACCAGAAACACCAATCAGAAAGGATATAGGCACCCCTATGTTCATAGCAGTACAATTCACCACAGCTAAGATCTGGAAAGAGCCCAAGTGCCCATCAGTAGATGAGTGGATAAAAAAGCTATGGTAGGGGAGGGTGGGAGGGCAGGCGGGGGGGGGGGGGGGGCAGGGGGGTAAGAGATCAACCGAAGGACTTATATGCATGCATATAAGCATAACCAATGGACATAAGACACTGGAGGGTAGGGGAGGCCAGGGGATTGTCAAGGGCGGGGGAAAAAAAGGAGACATATGTAATACTCTCTGTAATACTTTAAGCAATAAAAAAAAAAAGAAGAAGAAAAAGCTGTGGTACATTTATACAATGGAATACTATGCAGCAGTAAAAAAAGAAGAATCTCTTACCCTTTGAGACAGCATGGAGGGACCTGGAGAGTATCATGCTAAGTGAAATAAGTCAGTCAAAGACAAGCATCACATGATTGCATTCATATGTGGAATCTAAGTAACAAAATAATCGGATGAACGGAGTGGATCTGGAAACATGGAATCATGGAACAGAGTACAGAATCTGAGGGAAGGTGGGTGGGAGGTAATCAACCAAAAACCTTGTATGCATATAAGCATAACCCATGGACACAGACAATAGGGGCCTGAAGGCCTGTGGGGGGGATGAGTGTGGGCTGGAGGGGGTCAATGGGGGGGGGGGGAAAGGGGGACATGTTATACTTTCAACAATAAAGAATTATAAAAAAAATTGTAGGAGCCTCGGCTCCTACTGCTAAATAAACTAGTAATGAACTTAATCAAATACTGTTTTATTACTTAATTCAACATCAAATATAGGTAAGTGCATGTGTATCTGCACTTAACTATGGATTGATGGAAGACCAATATTTCTAATCCAGTCGATCGTTTTACTAGTTCACGTCTTTCCTGAAGAGAAACCAGCAATAAAATAAAGGACCCTCACAGACTTCTCCTCATACTTACTCGGTCTCTACAGCGGGGACACTGTCGATTAGTACGGAACAAGTTAAACTGAAACCCAAATCACAATCTTTTTGGCGAATGAACCACCAACAGTTTTATGCTCCTCGGGCCAGTTACATCTTAGGACAAATTAAGCAACAACGAAATTAAAAAATAAAAGAACTGTGTTAGGGAACCTGTTAATGACCACGGAATATGCTTAGGGAACAGAACACGCCTGGCGCACGGCGGGTGCTCCGTAAATTTACGGAATGAAGGCAGGCGTGTAAATGCGTACATACGAGGACGCCGCACATTTAGGGCTCACTGAGAACCGAGAAAGTGACAGGACGCCACGCTTCTTATGACAGCTGACCACCTGCAACCCTTCCCAGGGGCCGCGCACAGGGGTAGGCGCTTCAAAGAACAAACAGAAGCTCTTCGTGCGACAACCATCTTAAACGGGTCCCCGCATTTCTCAGAGGCGGCTCCCCGGCACACGCAGAGCAAGGTCAGGCGGAGAAGCGGTGGAGCAGGACAGCCCGGCCAGCCAGGTCCACGCTCCCAACATTCCCAAGTCCCCATCGCGCCCCCACTGTGCCCTTTAATACTGCCTAGAAAAGCGTTCAGGACAAAGATACCGACCCAACAGGGGTCCACAGCCACCTGCGGGGCCAGCTCCGCCGGTGCACACGCGGGGAGACCGCCCGGCCCCGGCGCAGGCCGAGTTCGGATCGACCAGCGCGCGCCCTTCCCGGTCAGGGTTGAAACGCCGGGGCGCGGAAGCCGGTACCCTCGCCGACCCGGAACCGCCTCCCCAGTGGCCAGTGCTGGGTGTGTGGCCCAAACAGGGGTGCAGCGAGCACAGAGTACTCACCTGCGAGGGCCCAGCCGGGGACGCCCGGGGAGAGCGTGGTTCCGCAGTCCTTGCTCCAGCGCCTGCGCACACAGTCGCGGCGAGCGCTCCGCGTCCAAACCAATACAAATGGAGAGCTCGGACGGAGCTGGGCCAATCACAGTGCGCCGGGCTGGGGGGTGTGGCTTTCTGTCCCCCGCGCATGCGCCAGATAGCTCGGTTCCTCCAAGGCGTGGGAAGTAAAGGCCGACCGGCGAGAGCTGCTCGGGACTCCAGCGGGCTGAGCTCGGTAGGTGTCCGTGCGGGGGTAGGGCTCCGTTTTTACGGCCCGGCCCGTGTCGTTGCTTAGGCTCCGGTGCTGCACTGGCCGGCCCAGCCCTCTCAGGCCGCCGCGCCCGGCCGGTGCTTCAGCGCAGGTCCCAGGGACGCCGGGTTTGGGGCGCCAGGCTCTGGGGTCCTTTCATTCCTAGAGGACGGGGCGCCCGGGACGTCCCCTCTTGCCCTGCACATCCGTTCTCTTAAATCTCACAGCGGGGTGTTTAGGTCTGGACTGGCCGCCCACCTTCTCCCCTTATTGACTTGCATGTCTGTACCTTTTTTATTCACTTGCTTGTTTGCCGTTTGCCAGCCTAGACCGTATTCTTCCTCATTCTAGCTACCAGGGGAAACGAACACCTCGGGAGCTTTGTGCACCTTTTAAAAAATCTTTGCTTTACGTTGACCTATAGGAATTTTGGCCACTTGACCCGTTGCTTTTTTTTTTTTTATCTTTGAACAATGCCGGCATTAGGGGCACCAACACCCTGCCCCCCTCCCACCCCTCGTGGATTGGAAAATCCGGTATAACTTTTGACTCCCCAAAACTTAATTGTGGTGGGCCCTCCGCATGCGTGGATTCCCAGCTTTGATGAAAAACATATTTAACCGGACGCCGTTCCTTCCATCCACCAATTGATAGGACGTGTGTTTGGACTTTGAATCCATCCCAGCTTTGCCACTCACTAGCTGTGTAAACTGGATAAAATTACTTCTTTGTGCTTTAAGTTTCCTCATCTGTGAAATGATGATAAAAGTGCTTAATTTATTGTGCTGTCAAGAGCATTAATTTAGTACAGGGAAAGCACAATAGTACCAGGCAAATGGTAGTGATTATCATCATTAGATGCCAGCCAATTTTCTAAGCGGCTCTGCTCTAGTACTTATGTTTTGCTGGGACATGTTTATTAATCACTTATTTGGGGTACTCATCCTTAGTTCCATAAGTATTGATGTTGAGTGAGGCATGTTCTCAATATATTTGACCATGTTTTTTATTCCTATATTTAGTTATAAGTCAAGAGTTGAGAATCTGATGGCATGGCTTTAATTACCTTGCGGAGGAATCTTTGTCATTTATCTGATTTTCGGATAAATGGAGCTCTGGGTGCTCTGAAAAATCAACCTGTACATCATGTTCACGAGGCAGTCAAGGGACATCTGTACCCATGGTTCTTCTGTTCACTACAACCTGGGCCTTTCAGGGTCAGGTTCCATCATGCCTGTTGTAAAAAGTTCCATTCAGAAAACGGAAATGACCTTCATCCAGTTGGTGAGCCAGTGTTCCCTCAAGTACATGATTGGGACAGTTTTGAACAAAATCTCAAAAACATGGACGAACAGCTCTTTTACAGGAGACTGAACAACTGCGCTTCACCAGAAGAAGTGCTAAGTTTCATAAGCACACTGCAAACTTTGCCTGATACGATGGCAGCAGGAGCCTTACAGCGGATTTGTGAAGTGGGAGAAAAAGATAGTGATGAAAAGCTGCCAAAGGAAGTAATAGAAAATCCCGTCTTTCAAGCTTTATGTGTTCAGTTTGAACAGGAACCCTCAAATCTGTCAAACACCGGTTTGGTGACTGCGTTGCAAGCCCTGACTCTGTTGTCTGTGGATCCCCAGAGTAGCTTGTTACTGAACCTGGTGGCAGAATGCCAACATCGTGTCAAAACGGGCAGCCTGGAAATCCACAGCCTTTGTGTTCTTGCGGAAAGTCTGCTCAAACTACAAGGTCCAGGTTGTGCGACCCTAGACCTGATTATATATCAACTGCAAGGTGAAAAATTGGAAGATTTTACCCCCGAGGATATTGTGGCCCTTTATAGGATACTGCAGGCATGTACTGAAAAAGTGGACCAACACCAGACATTTCTAAATAAGATAAACAGCTTTTCTCTGTCAATAGTTTACACCCTGAGTGCTAAATCAATAAGCCAAATGCTCACTGCCCTGGTGGTTCTCGATCAAACTCAGGCACTTCCTCTGGTTATAAAATTGGGTAAATATGTTGTGAGACATATCCCTCATTTCACTAATAAAGAGCTTGGAAAAGTCTTAGAGGCTTTCATATACTTTGGGCACCATGACCGATTTTTTATAACAGCCCTGGAGCAGCATGTCGTGTCTCTGTGTCTCACTTTGGACCCTGAGGTTGTCAGCAAAGTCATGGAGTACTGCAGCAGGAAACAGATCCTTTCAAAACCCATCTTGAATGCAGTGGCAGAAACTTTTGTTTGCCATTCTGAAAAATTTTCCCCTAGTCAGATTTCTGAGTTGATTGAACCATTTGGAAAACTCAATTATTTGCCACCAAATGCCTCTGCTTTATTTAGAAAGCTAGAAGATATGTTATACACTCATTTCAACTCTTTTCCTCCCAAAACACTATTGAAACTTCTCCATTCATGTTCGCTTATTGAATGCCATCCAGTCAACTTTATGGGAAAAATATTCAGTCCTTATTTTCTTCAAAAGCTGCAAGGTGAGTTGGTTATAACTTCTGCAAGTGGAAAAAATAACCTCTGAACTTAATGGAGTTTTCAAGTCACATGTAGCTTTTACATTGAGCAATGCTTTACCTTTTTTTAAAATTTCATAACTAGAGGCCCGGTGCACAAAATTCATGTGGGGGGGGGGAGGGGTTTCTCCCTCAACCTGGCCTGCACTCTCTCGCAGTCTGGGGGATGTCCAACTGCCTTGGAGGTGGGAGAGGCTCCCGCTACCACTGCTGCATTTACCAGCTGTGAGCCTGGCTTCTGGCTGAGTGGTGCTCCCCCTGTGGGAGCACACCGACCACCAACAGGCAGTTCCTGCATTGAGTGTCTGCCCCCTGGTGGTCAGTGCATGCCATAGCGACCAGTCTTCAGTCAATTTGCATATTAGCCTTTTATTACCTAGGAGGATAAACTAAAGAGGACATCTGAAGTTGTAGATAGCAGTGTAAATGCAGAATTAAAGCATGCTAGAACATTGCATTGAAAGAGAGAACAGTTTCGGGTAAACAGACTGCTGCCCTAGCTGAGAAACAGTATTCTTAGGGGGCTGCGGTGATGGAACTGGTAAAGTCACAGCAACATGTTTGAATCTTTGTGAAAGAGAACTGTAGAACTCTTTTTTTTTTCTTTTTTTTTTTTTGAGAGACAATAGTATCTTAATTGAAGGGCACCAGATATGTCAACAATCTCAATTTCCAAGAACTTCCATTAATTCGACTAACATTTGGTCCCTCTTAATTATATATTCTCTAGTTAGGAGCTTCAATTCTTGGAAGTTAAAATGAGATTGCATTGATGGCAAGCAAGAAGGCATAAAGGCATAATTAATTCCAACATGTTCTTTTCATAGTGTCATTTAAGAGTGAACAAATGAATATTTTATAGTCTTAATATTCTTTTAACTCTTAATATTATTTTCTCTCATTACATATATCAAAATTCAAATTTAACTATGACTAAGATGCTTTTTATTTCAGGCGAGGAATCATATTTGGACAGACTGAGCCTAGCACAACTAACCCAGCTTTTGTTAACCTCGATCCTCGAATGCCCTTTCTATAAGGTAAAAGCATGAGCTGTGCTTTATTTCTCTATGGGGGCAGTTTTCTTTTGTTCCCTTTCCCCTACCATCTAACATTTTTGTTTAGTTCTTTCTCTTTTGATCTGTCTCAATCTCATTAACAACTAGAACTTCCATTCACTTGGAGTTAGTGGTCACCAGATAGCCTATTCTTTGATAAATCAACCCCACTCCTGTTTTCTTGTCCGTGAAGGACCCATTTCCTGGTGTGTAAGATTTCTTGGAAGATGCTGCAGGGTTAGATTAATAGTACTCAGAGAGCCATGCTGAGGGTGTTAGCCCCACAGCAGTGTGGCTCTGGACTGAACACATCCTAAATCATCTGGGGTACATTTTTAAGTGCAGGCTGTCATCTGATGGAGTTCGGTGGAGGTGGAGTTTGTGTGTCCCATCAGGTACTCCGCAGTGTGGGGGTAGCCACATCCCCCCCCCCACTTCTATTGTATTGTGACATTAGTCCCTTTAATTTTTCATTTGACTCTGAAAAACAGTATCACATTTTTAAATTATATTTTAATGAGCAATAAGGAAGTTGAGCATATCTTTAAATGTTTATTGGTCATTTACATTTGCTGTGAATTGCCTTTCTACCCTCTAACTCCTATTTCTATGGGCTTATTTTTTTCCCCATAGGAGTCATTGTAAAACAGATTTTAGCTATTGTTTGTGTTGTACATATTTTCTTCTGGTTTTAATTCTTAGGTTTTTAATTTAATGTTTATGATGCCTCCTTGCTGAATAGAAATTTTTAAGCTTTCTATAGTCAAATATATCCCATCTTTTATGGCTTCTAGGTTTCCTATCCTGCTTAAAAATATTTCATCACTCATAAGCTAATATCAATGTTTTACTAAATTTT